GCGTATCTGCAACTAAATAAGTAAAAGTACAGTCTTTATTTCTCAAGAAAATATATAAATAAAACAAAGAGAAAACTACAAATGAAATAAACAGAACTTCTCGGTACCACTACGCCATTTTGTGTGCCGAAGAAACGTTCGGTGTTGTCGATAGGTATCGAAAAAGAATATAAAAATATTATTTTTAAATGGTGACGGTATGAATCGGCTCCGTTTGGCCGAACGCAAAAAGTAAAGTTTAAACTGTCCGTACAGCATAGGGGGCGCCCAGATAACCCTATTTTATTCAACTCAGTCGCAGAAACTCCTTTATTTTTTCACCATTATGCAAATCTGCCACCCGCTTTGATTCAAACAGACTGTATGAATGCTTAAAAATATATAAATAGTTGTTTCGAGCAGTATCGCTTGCTGTATTTAATTATAAAGGCCAAATAATATGGAATTACTGAAATAGCTATGTTTAAAAATGAAAAACTATATACACTAAAGAAAGATTTTAACCCTTACATCGTGATTGTGATAGTGCGTAATAAAAGTATATATAAAATATTATATTTACAAATAGTTTCCATTATAAATCAAATAATTTGATATTTACTTTCTTGTTAAAAAAGTAAAGGAAATTATAAATAAAATACCCTATTTCTTTTTTCTTTATTAACCTAAACGATAGAATATACTTTGTAAACAATTCTGTATATTTGAGTATATTAGAAAAAATATTCTTGAAACTTCTGGCGCAAATAAAAAAAAAATCTACTTAAAACTTCTGATGCAATTTAAAAAACATATAGATTGAACCAAATATAATCATTATGAATTATTTTTAAACATTACAGAATAAACATGTGATTGTCTCAGCAACAAATCATTGCTTATCAAACTTTTTTACAAAACTTCTTCTTCTTTTATTCGTTTTATCATAAAAGTTTACTTTTGCAAATCTCATTGTAAAAATTCAATGACAAAATTATGAATTTCAACTGAAAAGATTTTATAACTTACAGTAACGCAGCACGATATCCTACGATTTTACCGTCACGATATATTAAAGCTAGAGACGCTTTTATTTTTCGCAACGATATCATAGACGTGCATAGAAATTAAAGACGTATGAATACAATAGTATATATTTTGCACACCTATTATATCGAAACGGTATAATCGCTTGATATCGTGCCATGCACGAATTTATGAAAGTGTATTTTACTGCTGTCGACTGTAAACACTCGCTTGTTAATATTTCTTCATTTCATTGCCGCTTGAACACACTTTAGTTATAGTACTAGTAGTTTAACCAGAGGGAGACTTTGTACAAAAGTCGTTTGCTTGGGTACCTCTGTCCCATTCGTGTTTCTACCGTGAAGCAGTTGTGTTTGCACGGCTGTGTTTTGGTTTGAAGGGTGCGGTATGGCGTGAATTTACAGGGTACAGAGGAATAACATTTAAGTCCTCAGGAATGGTAACGCATGGGAGGTATCATGGGCGAAACAATAAACTCATGTTCATGGTACTGCTCATGTCTATAGGCGACGGTTACCACTTTCCATCAGGTGAACCGTCAACTTGTTTGCTATTCTACGTTTTATAAAAAAAAATAGTAATTTATTTAGCTATATCATCATCATATCAGCCTTGAACTGTCCACTGCTGAACATAAGCCTCCCCCTTCGGGAGAATTACCAGTAGTTGGTATGCTTGGCGGGGATTGAAACTGAAGTTATGTTTTGAAGATATTTTAAGAGGGACGCTAGTGCTCATCCATCGCCCACCCTTAATCACCTCTTACGACACTCGCGGGAGAGGAAGAAGTGGCCTATTCTATGCCGAGACCACACGGCAAATTTATCTATCTCTCTCTTCGTCCTCTTCATTACTAGAGGTCGTGTCCTTGAAAGGTGTCTGTTGCCTCTCTTTATCTATATATATCCGAAATATTAATGTGCTATTTTATGCTGAGGGTAACGAAATAGTCAAGTATATTACGTTCGATATCTTTTAAAATTTCTCACAAATCGTAGTCAAAAGTCAGCTCCCTCCAATAGAATTTTTAATTTCGTCAAAGATAACTTTAGTCTCAAAGTTAACTTTATTTTCTACCCAGTGTTACAACTTTCCAAGAAAATTGAACTTGTTTATTTTGGAGATCGTTTTTTGAACTACACTGTGCAAATATAAAGTACAAATTAAACGTTTTCTTTTGCCCTCCGATATTCTGATGATAATGAAGATTTTCGCCTTCTTTATAAGCGACGAAAATAGTAGTTAGAGCACAGTAAATATTTTAGAAAATTTTGTAAAACGTTTTAATATATAAAAAAAAAAATATCTATCTATCGCCGTTTTTAAAAACAAGTTTTTGATCCTAAACTAAACAGAGCTATGTTATACTACCCGTATATGTAGCTGTACTATAGACTCCGATGAAATATATATATAAAAAATATCTCGGAATTTCTTTAAAAAATATAATAAATTTCAATAAATAACATATTATCAATAAATCGAAAATTACGTGGATATTTCAGAAATACATAGGCGGCGCGAATTCAATGCGACGGCAATCAGCCGAGAGCGGTACTAATAACAATATCTTTATCCCAAAGTGGATTCACTATTTCATTTTTCAATTAATACGTAATAAAATATACTAAATTATGACAGCAAGACTCGATATGTTATTTTAAATGACATCGAATGAGATGAAGGTCTTAATTCGCCTATATAAACTTATGCAATATCTTTGTCAAATCCATAGAATAAAATTTCATATTTTCATATAAAGTTTACCATTATAACACTATATTATTTAGCTTCATTTTTACATATTTGGATCAAATGCTCTCTTTTCAGTTTATGGTTAATAGAACTGTCTCGATTTGTATATTATAGGTTATGCTATCCAAAAGACGATGTGATGTCACGTTTAGTACCTAATAAATAGTTACTACACCAGGTATAAATTTCTTATTCTTATCTCGATACACACGACATTCGAACACATATAGATATGATTAAAATAAAAATCTATACTTGACCATACTTCGACTAGAAAATCATGAAATATTATTCGATATCGATCATGTTATATTTTACTTATTACCTTCTTAATTAATCAGATATAAAATTTAATTTAAACTGTATATTAGACCTCTGGAACTATTAGTAAATATATAGAAATGACCGAAGTAAAAAGCAAATGCAAATTTATAAAGATATCGTATTATTTAACTATCCTATAGATATATAGATATCTAACATATTATAAATATAGGATAATTTACTATCAATAATTCATATTTTAAATATATTATACATAAAATATTTATTATTAAATAAATAATAAATAAATTATACCTACTATAATTTTTATAATAAGATGTTAATAAAATAAATGTATTAGTCAATTTGAGGAATACGTAAAAGACATTGTTAAATATAATACAATATATAAATAATCAACATATGATCTCTACAATTTATTATAAACAGCATTATATTCCTGCGTAACGGCTACCGCAGTACAATAGGCCTAATGTTACTCCGTGCCATTGCATCCTCCCAAACCAAAAGATATCAACGCCGCACAACCACTATCTGCCAGGATAAGTGAACCGTTTTATATATAATATCGCTTATATATTATATAATAATATATGTTTAATTAAAATTTATCATAATCAAGATTTATAAAAATTATCATTAGTATTTTTTTTATTATTAAATTAAGTAAACTGACCAATTATACATTAAATTACTATCAAGTTTTCATCCCTACAAATCTAAACTACAATTCATAATATCTAAGTACCTATATACAATAACTTTTTTATTACATATTATATAAAAAAAAATAATAAAAAATTGTGACACGAATATGTAAATATATACTCGAATATTTATCAAAAAAATATAATATTAATTTTTATTACAGAATATGTACTAACAATAAATAATATACTAATTTTGATATACTCAAGAGACTGCTTTTAATGAAAAAAGAATTCAATAGATGTATATGTTGACATACATTTTTTTATTAAAATATTAGTACAATTTTCAGCTTTCAACAAATACAAATATATTTTCATATAATATTATCAATCTTTATTTATTGTGCAACGAATATTGTTATATTGAAACATTCTTAACTTTTAACTAAAATCTATTTTATTCAAATATATTAATAACTATTTAAAATGTCGTTAAACAATGTGATTACTAATACGTTAATACCTAATAATATAAGCATTTTATCCTATTAACAGTAGGATAAGTATTTACATCCCGTACTATTGTAAACAACTAGATATTCTGTATATATAATACATCATCATAAAATGAAGAATTAATTTTACCTATTTTTCTTTTTATATAATATTATAATTTCTCTAATTTATAATTACTTTTAATAGTATGAATTAAAGACTAATTATCTAATAATTAATTACTTTTATAATCCCACTTTATTTACACATTTGAAAATATGTAAAGAGATATCTCCTACTTAATTTTCAATTGCTTTGTACGTTAATTTGAAATAGGTACTCGACTTTATGTTCTCTCTCCTTTCTTCAAATAGTATTGCGGGTTTTTAAGAAGAATATAAAAATATCGACATATATTTAGTGCCTTAAAAGAAATATATTATTTAATTTATTTATTAATGGATAATAGTTATGAATACATTTTTTATTAAATATTTTTTACTGTTTATAAATATTTATTTTTCGTAATGCAACTATCATTTAAAAATTACACTTTACATTTCAGAAATTTATTGCATTAAGGGAAATTTTATTATAAACATAGCATTTTTATATTTCATAATATAATACAAATGAGAAATCCCACTACAACACTATTAACAGACATACTAAATTTGTATATACGATTATGTGTACATATAAACATCAATTTGTAAATATATACAAATAAATAAGCAATACATAACAAATATGAAACAAATTGTAACATTTGAACACATCAACACTTACCCAGTGCATCGCCCCCCTCTCCTCGTAAACTCCCATCTGGGGGTCAATTTTTCCGTTTTCTATTTTCGAACGAGCGGGCCTCTGCCCCACAAACACTCACACGCGTATCATGACAATGTGACAAGCGCGCTGCGTCGCTAACGGCGGCCGACTGCGTCCCCAGTGTACGGAGGCGACCTCGCGAGAGGCGGACGCAGCCCACGCCCCCGTAACGCCCCAACTGCTGATGGTGGGCAGCTGACTTTTTATAAATTCTGTTTGACTTTACCGTTTTTTTATGTCCTACAGAATTTTCAGTGTCACAACTAGCCAGTGACGTTGCGCGGAAATGAAATGTGTGCGCGCTTCTGTCACAAGCCCGTACGTCTGTGGAGTTTTCTTTTATGGGTTCCGCACATTACTTGTATTATTAACCATTGCGAGTTCGTTAGTGTGGACTTATTTTTTCTTGATTCTTTTAAGTTTTTTTTTTTTCTCTGGGAATAAGACTTTCTTCAGCAGCTTACAAATTGTAAACTGAAATTAAGTTATTATGTTATTAGTATCACTACAAATAAGAAGTAATAGAGAAACTTAAAGAAAACGGAAAAGGAGGAGGGGCAAGGTGTAAGATGAGGAGAAGATGGAAATCAAAGGAGAAGATCCATCTTATATCGTATTTTATTTACTTCAGCGCTTTAAGTGAGCGGTAGTCCTTTAAAGTGGACTAAATGTACGGAAATATTTAAGCGAATTACATATTTTATGAAAATATATACCATTTCGGAATTTAATGTAATATAAGGGTTTATATCATTGCCCATAGAAATAACACTATTTATTGGTTACAGCTAATGCAGGCAGTCACGTCGAAAAAATATTTGTATTTTTCTCGGGCTTAACAATATTTTCCTAGGGTCCATTTTGTGAACTAGTTAGAGAACCACTTAGATGGCGTATCAAAATAAAACATACACCAATTCTTAAGATAGATCTTCAGAAATACAATCGCTAAAATCGCATCTACTTTGGTACAGTAATTTTTGTGTGATGCCAGAATAAAAATACAAACAGACAGACAAAAATTCTAAAAAAAACATTGTTTTAACTTTACTGCTCCTATTACAGGCCATCACATATTTTTTTTACTATCTTCTATATAAGGACATTTTCTAGTTATAATTTTATTTTTTTAGTAAAAATAAAATTATTAAGAGACAGTAATTAATTAATTATTAGTGACAGTATCTGTGTCACAGAGACCATAACATGATAGCTCAGAGCAGAAAGGATGTCTTAGAAACAACAATCACGTTTATAGCTGGAATCCAACAATTGTAACAAAATATTTAGTAATTATAAAAAGTTATATAAAAAATGTATATTTTTGGATATAATAAATTAAATAGGTAAACAAGGGCGGGTACACACAGTGTTACCTGAAACAAAAAAAGTATATTAAATACAAACATTACTCGCAACCCCCAAAATCAATCAATGAAGTCAAGTAAGATTGAATGTGATTATCGACTGGATGGGTGACCGCATAATAATTGGAGTACTAGTCCTTGACTCTTGCTGCTTAGCTTAACATTCAAATCTAAGGCAGGTCCTATTTTATTAACCGACTTTAAAAAGGAGAGTGTTCGATACAATAACGATTTTTAATCGTAAAAGTACTCGTGATCAGCGGGTCTACCATGAAATGAATCTCCAAAATTTCGGACTCAATTTTGACCGAACTAATAAATGAAGTTTAACATTTCGTTCGTCATACGTCCAATCATAAAAGTCAAAGGAAACAATATTTTAACATTTTTAATATTTCCAAATGGCATGTATTATGTAATTTTAACATTAAATTTCTGTTTCGTTTGGCTCCGAAATTTCGGAAAACATTTCATGGTAGGCCCTCTGTTCTCATAGGTGCTATTGACTGAAGTATTTTTTGTTTGCATAGCAAATTCTAGAATTTATTTACATTAAATATATAAGAACAAATATCTGTATGGATGGATAGGTAATATATATTAATATATATAACAGCTTTTTATCGAAAACACTTTTTGTCTGAGAGCCTCTGATAAAAATATCTCGATATAATCAGTTCGTAAGTAACCCAGCATTCCATAAGTTTTTTTTTACAACAATAATAAAAGTGATGTATAATATTGTTGAGCTGACCTAGTTCAGATAAATCTGGTACCTACCTTGCTCGTATCTACTTTTTTCCTCACATAATTGCCTTTTGATACTTATTAATTTTATTATGTAGATACATGATTTAATTGAAGTCATTAATTCCACTTAATTCAATATATAAGTGACATCATGCATACAATATAACAATCCAATTAACGTTATTGCAATTTGTCTTCATACGGATAAAATAATAAGAATGTATGCAATTATACAGACTGCAGCATGGGGTTCTTCAAAAGGGGGGTAAAGAGGTTTCTTAAGGGTCGGCAACGCGCACGTAATACCTCTGGTATTGCTGGTGTTCATAAGCTACGGTAACCACTTACCATCAGGTGGGCCGTATGCTTGTTTGCCACCTCAGTGGTATAAAAAAACATATATTTTACTTTCCTAATATCATGACGTTTATCGTCACGCTTGACTGCTAGATGGAGACACTATTATAATTTAGGATAGCACCTGTAACATCATGGTTTTCTTTATGCAACTTAGAATGGCAAACAAACTGGCGGCCCATCTGATGGAAAACGGTAACCGTCGCCTATAGACATGAGCAACACCATGGACATAACAAATAATACTGCTTCGCCCATGATACCCCCCATGCGTTGCCATTCTTGAGGACTCAGCTGTTATTCCTCTGTACCCTGTAAATTCACTGCCATATCCCATCATTCAAACCGAAACACAGCCATGCAAACACAACTGCTTTACAGTAGAAACACGAAAGGGACAGAGGTGCCTTTAGTACAAAGTCTCCCTCTGGCATACATTTTGCTCTTGTATTATATCGCAACGATAAAATCGTATGCTAACGTGCAGTGCTACAGTAAATTCTAACAGCACCCTATCCATATGATAAATTATAAAAAACCACCCAAACTACAAAATCATGACTATACATATTTAAATATATAAATATGAAAGATTTTCCTTTCTCTTTTGTCTATTTGTAAGACCACAACCTAAATAAAGTCAGGGTACCTATGTAGGTACTGATTATCCTAAATCAAGCGCCATGTCGCGGGTCACAGGTGCTTAATTATAAACAAAAAACAATCAAATTACCTATTATCATTGGAAGTACACTCAGTTGCATGTATGAAAGCAATTACAAAAGTAATATTAATAATAATAATTTATAATGAACGTACTACGTAACCTCTAATAGAGAACAATTTTTTTTTTTTGTATAGGACACGTTTGAGTTCCCACTGTAATTAATCAGTGAAATACATAAATGTTCACCACAACACCCTCCCCCTCCCTCTCAACGGATTTTATCATTATAATAATTAACCAAAATGCCGCTCCGCTGATTCCAACCTTCTAATGAAAATATTGGGTCATTCGGACGAATTTATCGTACAAGTAACGCCATCTAGCAGACAGTTGGAGTACAACCGATAAGAGGACATAATTGTATTCATTTAATAACAAAATTACACAGTAATTCACAGTATAATTACCGCCAGATATATATCTTGGATTTATTTACTTTGTTAACGATGTTTATCATCACTCAACTACGTGGAGCGGCATGTTACGCTGTTGCACTTTATTACACTCGCTTTTCGAAATGAAAAATAAAACTTTGTAGTATATATATACTCGTATGTATGTATGTAAAAATTAAATTATTATTGCGAAAAATTAATTCTCTTACACTCTATTATAATATAAATATTATAATATAATCTTTAACCAACCATTTGAGAATCCTTTAAATTACCCGCCAAGCTAGAGAGAAACGAAATATCGCAAAATTAAATTAAAAATTCAATAATAACTCAAAAGATATGCAATGTGAAGTGACAATGAGCCGGCTACATAGACGTATGGTCATTATGAACAACTACTACAAGAAAATCATCAGTCACCCTTAATTTTTAACTGATAATTAAATAAATACGTACCATCCCAAACGTTAATATGAGATCTAACAGTACTGTATGGATAATAGGCTTCTGAGGTTCCGGACATGTTCTCAGAGTGAGGCAGGAGCCAGCGGTGGCACCAGCAGCAGCTGTAGAGGCGGTACTTGGCGCAATCCTCGCTTGGCAGCCGGTCTGTCTTATAATGAAGCCAACCAAACCACTCCGGCGTCACCTGTTAAGTTCTAGTGTTACTTTGTTACAAATGAAGTCCGTATTATATATGTAAGAGGGTTGGATATCGGTGAAAAAAAATACTGTACCTAATTATTTTTATTGTACCTGGAACTGGACTGAATTATTGTATGATTAACCGATATAAATCTGCAGTAAAGCATATTTTATGGATAATACAATCTCCAACACGCATAATGTGTTTTCTTAATGAAAACACACAATAATTACACACAAGAATTAATAATTAATCGATTTTTTTTATTTGTATTAGTAATGTCTTGTAATCGAGTCCGTTGTTTACATTCGTTTGTTTATATTACCATTATGTTGTATTGAAACAGTCGATAGCTTAGTTAATCGTTCGCATACATTACCAGAGGGAGACTTTGTACAAAAGTCGATTGCTTGGGTACCTCTGTCCCATTCGTGTTTCAACCGTGAAGCAGTTGTGTTTGCATGACTAAGTTTCGGTTTGAAGGGTGGGATATGGCGTATATTTACTGGGTACAGAGGAATAACACCTGAGTCCTTAGGAATGGCAACGCATGGTAGGTACGAGTATCATAGGCGAAACAGTATACTCTGTTATGTCCATGGTACTGCTCATGTATATAGGCGACAGTTACCACTTTCCATCAGGTGGGCCGTCAGCTTGTTTGCTATTCTAAGTTGTATAAAAAAAAAACATGCAAATTTCTATTTGGATTTTTAAGAAGTAATTATGACAATAGCACACGAATGCTAGGGAAGGAATCCTATGCCATACCGCCTGCTCAATGTAATATGAATAATAGAAATAACTTCTGTTATGGGAAAGGCCCTTGCATTGCACAGGAATGTTAATGGACAGTTATGATGCCATAGTTACTTTTAAACTTTCGCGTTTATTACACTTTATTAGTATAGTTTATCGGGGTCTTAACACGAATTATTTGAGTTTATATTATGATAAGGGATCTCTTTAGAAATGCGAGTTTTTTTTTTCTTAAGCGATAGAAGGAGCTCGATGTGACAGTATAAATCTTGTATGTACCAACATTTTTTGTAGATCCCGTTTCGCTACAATTGTACTATATAACTCATATTCTGTTTCTCATATCGTGTTTATGCATTTTATACGGTATTTTTCTCTACCGAATTTGATAATTCTTTTGCAATGGTTGAGTTTACTTGTATTCATTCCATAATTTTTGTTACAATTAATGTTGCAATTGGATTATTTTATCAAGTGCTTTTTTTTTTAATTTAATTTAAGAGATATTTTTTGTCTCGAATCTTCAATAAAGTTAATATCCCCAAAAAGCATTTTGCAAAATACTTCCTTCTGTATTTCGGAGACATCGGTTTTTTTTTTCTTTTTGGGAAGAATCGAAGTTGGAAGCACAGTTAAAAAGTTTTCCAAAGTTAGACAAGAGCTGTACTTGCTGAAAATCACCCAGTTCCTTCTTTTTTGAAGCAAAACCTTAAATAATTTTCTATCCTTTAATATATATTTTTCTTTTTCTTTTTTATAATATTTGTCTTTATTTTAATTGAGTAACCCACCTGACTAGCGTCGTATTCCAATTTGACGTTGGGCGCATAGTCGACCCATCGGCTACGGCCCATCATATAATTCTTGTTCTCATAGTATTTGTTGCCGGAACAATCCACGCCCATCAGCTTACCTTCCTAAGAAATTTACCATTTTAATTACAATTTGTAATAGATAATTCTTTCAGGTTACATAATTTATGGTGGGTAGAAAAAACTACTTTTGTCACAGGACCATCTTTACAACACCGGTTACGTTATGACCACGACTACGTAGCCTCACGTAAGTAAATGTAATATTTTACCTAAAAAAAATCAAAGGAAAAAGATAGACGCTCTAGAAATGTGGCGCTAGAGGAGAATGCTTCAGGTATCAAGGACCGAATTTAGGACAAACGTCTCCATTTCATATTGGAAGAACTCGGCATTACGCAGCATATTTCAACAACAACACGATCGCGCATCCTTACATTTGACACCGAGAAACGAAGCTTCCACGAAGCAGTATATGATATAGAGCTTGGTGGATGATACTTGATCTCTGGGACATTTGCCTATGCGATCGACCGACCACGTCAAATCCATGTTAAATGATTCGCTCCACAAGTGTATCAGGATGGGAGCCAACTAAGAGACATGGCGGGACATCGTGAGGCCTAAAATGAAATTTGGCTCTTTTTTTCTTTGAACAATTCGTAATCTTATTTTTTCCTAAATATCTTTAATAAATAGCACGGACTCTATTTATCATAAAGGTTATGTCTCTTACTGCGTTATATAATTACCATAACCATGCTGTCATAAATGTATGAAATAAGAAGAAATAATCGTCTTTATTTCAGTTTGTTGTAAAAAATATGTTTCTTTTATAATAAAACGAAAATATACGCTCGGAAAACAATAAAAAAAAATACTAATAGCGACAGCATACAAAGACATTTATAAAAATAACATTTTAACTGAAATAAAAACTATAAGAATGAAATAAGATAGCTGATGTTCATCGTTTGCGCGGAAGTTTATTCAAATGTAAAAGTGGTACTAATTAGCGTCATTTTCAGGTTTCGTTTTCAGCGCGCTCATTGGTATGTTATTCTTTGTATACTTACCTTCAGCGTGTCCGTCCTCCAAAGCTTGTAAAGAGCTTTGAATGGCCCACCATTTTGCGATACGATACGAAAAAAGCGAGCCCATTTATCAATCGGTATTAAATACATTGTTATTTAAATGTGTATTATTTGCCTTTAAAACTCAAAATTATACTTTTAAAATTTATATAGCAATGTCAAAAAATTTTACAGGTGTCATTGTGGAATTTTCCAAAGTTTTCATGAAAAAAAAAGATAATATTAAAAAAAAGGTACTATGAGGAATGACTACTAAGATACTAAGAAACATTGCCTGCTATGAAATCCTATAGAAAAGTATTATGCTTCCGTACCTTGGCTGTTTGAAAGCAGACATGAGTGAGACAAAGGTAACCACCCGTGCATACTAGTTTTATTACAATATCTTACTTTGATTTAAGCCATTTCATAATTTTTTTTTTCTATCCTTTTTCATAACTAACATCGTACACTCATGTCTGCTCTACTCTGAACTGTAATATTCAAACCATTGAAGTGTTATCATTATTATGTCAGCCTTTAACTATCCACTGCTGAACATAGGTCTCCCCATATAAGGGTGTTATGCCAGTAGTTGCCACACTTGGCAGGCGAGTTGGCAACTGCAGTGAGATTTTGGTGATGTTTTAAGAGGGAAAATCCTGCTCATCCCTCGACCATTAAATAAATAATGTTAAATCAATAAAATACTATACTTTCTTTAATTTTTGTTTGCACATATTATAGGGTTGATACTTTTACGTCTATTTCAAATACATAATCTGCAATAATAGTTTGTTTTATTATAGAACTTTAAAAGATTATAACACAAGAAGACAGACAGACCGACCGTAGACAGTCTACTGTTGTAGAAGAAATAAAAAATCGGTTAATTAATTCAAATGTTTCTATTGGTTACTAATTTTATTTACAGTTACTGTGATATTTTTTATAAAATTCATTACCTTTTCATTAAGTTCTATTGAAATAGATTTCTTTAAATAAATACAAATGGAATGATAACCTTGCCTACGCTAACGGTATACGCTGGCAGGGCACCAGAAAAGCACAATGGTTTCCAGGAAGGGGACACACGTGGAGGTCGGCCTGCCTACATCGCTAGCTTTAGGACTGGTAGTTCATATTACTAACTATCCCTTACCCGCATTAAAATAGATTATATGTACTTAGATACGTCCGTAAAGACTGTTCACATTGTACTGAATTTAATAAGTGAGAGAGGAAACATAGGCGTAATGCATAAGTACATTAGCTACCTATATATATGTCTAGTCATAAATAAAAACACCATTGGAAAAGCAACATAATAATTTATTATCAACAATCAAACGACTCACATACAAACTGTTCACAGCCTAATCCGACACAAAAATTGATTATACTTAAGAAAATTTGCACGTTCATTGCTGACAGAAATCTAATGTCTATTAGGTTTTAAGAATTCAATTTATACAACCTAATTATCCTCACAAATATCGCTTTGTGGATCAGGCGGTAGATATAATAAATAATAATATATAATATATATTGATTATTGACATATTGGTACCCTCAGTATAACGAATACTTTCAAAGTTTGCTCTCATTTCATTATTCATAAAGAACTCAAAATCCCATGAAAAGTAAAGAAAACTTTAAAACCCTCAGTGAGTGAAGGGACCCCCAAATGAATCGGTATTCAACCCATTCGTATAGAAAAAAAAATGAATCACGCCAGATCTATCGAACCTCCACCGTTTAAAACTCCATCCGCGGTTGTTCATTTCCTCTGCTTACGGTAGTTTTGTGGTATCACTCTTAAGCACCTCCATCGACCACACCAACTATTCTTGTCACTATCACTTTTGGGATCAGGTTATAATGTCAGCCAAATGCACACGGGCATCGCTTTGGGGGATCAGGCGGTAGCCCTCCACTTAGTCTCGTAAGGTTACTCTCACGGATAGCACTTTTGGGGGGGGGGGGCAATAGTAGCTCCTACTTCTTCTCTTGAGTTCTCTAAAGAATATTTTTAGAGGGACCATTTTAGGTACATAATTAACGATACCCTGACCATTGCCGGATCCATTTTTCATCTCAGAATTCAATCACCGGCCCCCAACTCTCTTTGATAGCTAGCTCTTGGTTCTTCTAAGCACTCCACTCACCCCATTCAATCTTATCTATCCGGCACTTGATCTCCTGCAAAGAAGGGCGTCCCCCCTCTTTTCATACCTCTATATCACACGAAAATATTCTATACTTCTTGGGCGTTTATTCTTTAAAGCTTTTACGAATAAGAATGTTAACATCGATAAATGTTTTATTTTTTAATTGGCAAAGAGCTAATGTTGCTCATTATGCCTTAACAAGAGGGGACGAAACGAGACGGGATATTAAAAAGGTACGGTAAGGATTTTAGTATTAGTGATAATTAAAGTTTGACGTTGTTATGAGAAATAAAAGAAGCTAAGGAGTTATAAACCAAAGGCTGTGGATGAGCTAACAGACTTAATATGGAAAAGGATTTTTTAATGAAATGAGAGACTTAATGACAGAGCGTACCTATTACAGTAACACATAGACCAATAATAATTACAAAAATACTGTATCTACCACTTTTTCAAAGATGAAATAATAGAATATTAATATTTTCAAAATTTGCCTTGTCCGCGTGGTCAAAATGGACTAGAGTCCTAGAAAAAGATATAAATCAATTTATCAGCAATGAACGTGACCCTCGACATAAATACTATTACGGAAGTACTTGACAATTTTGTGAGGTTGACACCAGCTGTGGAATAACAAATGTTAACAAAGGTTTTTTTTTCTAGTTTTTTCAAATAGCCAATACTTATAATCTCCAGACCAAACAAAAAATATAAACGTAATGTAAATTCAATTTGAGTTAGTAAGTGTATGAATTTCTTATATTTGGATAAGTGAGACAAATATAGTACAGTTGTATTCGTATTTTTTTTATAAATGCAATTTTTTATAATATATATATATATATATATATATATATATATATATATATATATATATATATATATATATATATATATATATATATATAAATAATAATATTTATTTAAATTATTTTCTGTATCTCTACCAATTCACAATTTCTGACATTCTAATGTTGACTGAAAGAAATCCCTTTTATGGGATAAGTCCGACATTGTGCTCATTCTTTTCTTAACAACTCTGTATTTTGTAATTTAAAACTTTACAATAAAAAAAATATTAGAAACAAACAAAACAAACAATTCTTAGTAAATAAGTGGAAATGTGTGTATGTGTGTGTGAAACTATTTAATAGTTGAACATGAAGTGACACCTTTAGTATTATTGTGCGTATAGATTTGTATATATTTTTTAATTTTGATCTAAGATTAACATACAATGGAAAAAATCAACGCTTCATATAACTCAAATTTTAATGTCACTAATCAATGTGCTGGGGAACGGCTGTTAAACATTTGTTATTGCTACATGTCCATTCACAGCCAGACTTATAACTATATTAGGAAACTATACAAATATTCACAACTAGATTTCGTAATATAGTTATTGTGTAAAACATCAAATCAATGTCTTAATTCACACTTAATGTGCTAATTACACAATTGTAAATTTTATCGCAGAACTATTGCAACAATAACAATACAATTGATTTTGCTATAGAAAAATAGATATTTAACATTATGTATTTAACACAAGTGTGAACTAATTCTGGATGAAATATAAACAATTCAGTTGAACTATTGAATATAAAAAAAAATAATACAACACAATATATATTAAAATATAAACTTTGCAAAATAATATATCAAAAATGTATAGCACACATCCGTATGGCAAATTTAATCTGACGATAATGCAAATAGGTAAATTTTAATTAAAGATCTTTAATTAGTTTTCTCTACTTTTCATTTTACAACTAAATACAATAAACGTGCTTGTAGCGATACCACAAAAGTGCGTTGAATTATAAAGTAAAAACATTTCGACAATTATTACAATTACTGACTATAAAATTATAATTTTATTATATTATCCTATAGGGTTATGTAATTACGTAAACGCTATGTGGGTTGCACAGCGCGAATGCAAGGAACACACCTATGTATATATCACACCCACCCTACGTTTGTTTACATTCAAGAGTCTACTGTGCCCAAAGACGTATGATTCACAAGAAATATAAGTTGGTTTCGTCTTTGCACTTTTGTAATATAAAATTGGATTTCCTCTTAGTAAATTATGATCAAACCTACGTTGGATAAATATAATAATTAAATGGTAACGCTTTCGCCATTATATTATATGAAATTATTATATAAAAATACCTAAGTCATCGAAATCTGTCAACTTGCGGCCAATGCGACAAACACGCGCGACAAATGCACAACAGCCGTCGCGCGATATAACATAAAGCGGTCCAGTTATTTCGCTGTATTTCGTATAAAAAAAAATACAAAATAAACTTGGTTTTGCTAACATATTTCTTGTATTTTTTATCGTGACATAATAATTGTAAATTCTGTATTATTTGTGAATTAAGTCCATTTGTTTTGTCGCGTCAGCTATGTCCACTGGCCCGCATCTATCGCGTACGTCGTCCAAATCGGCCACAACACATAAAAGTTATATCTTCACGTTAGAATTCTGAGTAGAATAAAAATGTATGATTATTTGTGTTTTTCTTACATAATGATTACAAATATATTACCGTTAATCCACAAAAACAAAAGATTTTTTTAGAAAACTAACGTTTTCTCCCTTATATTCTTCACTTTTGTGGAACAAAGGACTGTCTACATCTAATATGTGATTGCAAATTCTAAAGCCGTCTTGAATACTGTATAAAGTGTCTATTATTTAAAAAATATTATTTTATTATATAACTGATATATTTCTAGCAAATTCTTGTAGTAATCATTTAACCGCCTCCGTACAATTAAGATTTACCTGAATTTATTCTTGATATTTAAGGCTATTATTAAGTTATGGTTTCATATAATTTATTTTATAAAGTACATATGACCCTGGGGTCAACTGAGAATTCCATGGTACAATCACGTGCAATAGTATGTAAACGCTTCTACACCTTACTATTCTAAATCTTCGTATATCTTCTTTATACAACATTGTTTGCTGTCCTCCTCATATAGAAAGTCCAGTAAATAAAAAAAAATGATAATTATTTGTCACAATATGACATATACAACCACTCGACCGAATGTCAGCCATTGGAGTGACGTGCGGCGAGCGATTTAGTCAGTCAGTCAGTTTTAACCTACTAGCGACCTAAATCTGCCACGCATGAGTAGATATATCAAAAAAATCACTATTTTTTTTAATAAAATACAGCTTATGTGGCTCCCCGATAATGTAGCTTTCTATAGGTGACAGAATTTTAAAAATGGAATAAGTATTTTATTTCAGTTTATCTACTACGAACAAATCTAATCTTTTCGAGTACCTAATACCACAGCTCATGGCGTCGTTTAAAATTACCATTATTTCGTGGTCTGTCAAACGGTTATTCGTATTTAAAATATAATTTAAAAAGAATCAATTATCACTAATACGACATTACTTCTTTAAGTGTATACAAACTTTTACACGCGACAGTACCTACAAATATACATTTATATTTATACCTATATCTACAGTGGTAATATCGTTGATGCGCCAAAAAAGCGTGACGTCACGACGAGAAACATAATTTCAATATCTACATACTCGGAAAGTGACAATTATTTTGCCTTTTTTATAATAAGTACGTCATAAGTACATGCGTTAAATAAAGCATTTAAGTACATGAACTTAAGAAATATCTCATATAATAAATTAATATTTCATTTATTTATGCTATCAACCGAAGACCATTTAAATTATAAGAAATAAAATAAAAAAATTCGCTTTTATAAAATTTCGATATTTTTCGATTCTCTGTTTACATTTGAGCACAAATGACCCTAAAGTAAAAACTAAGTATGGCCACGATTCGAAAACTGCTTTTTAAGTTTTTAATTCCATACTATTTCTTTAAGATATGCGATATGTTTGCTAATTCCGAAATTATTTTGGCAAATATTGTCGCAGGGTAGCAATAGTATTTCAGTATTAGATTGAAGTTAGTGGAAGACGATTAAACTATTCTTCGAAGTAATGCTAATTTTCAATAAGTTAATATTTTATTATTAAAAGTTTCGTAAATATACACTATATTGTGATGTTATAACGACCAGATTACGTGTAATATAGTCGAGAAAGCTCGACCAATTTAGGATGGTTCCCAAATTAGTCGAGTCTTCTCGAAATGAATGTAAGTTTTAAAAATAAGTACTATATTCTGTATATAACAACAAACACAAAGTAATTGTACGACATGACGCCCGCCCTTTATTAAATTCCCACGAACCTAAAACGAGACCTGTGTAATTATTATAAAATAAATTAGGTACAATTGGTACAGTTCAATATATGTACTACATTGATATATTTAATATAATACACAATTGTTATATACTTATATTTTTTTTAATAAAATATGCCACTATATATACATTCGTTACTGTCTCAGTTCGTTCAAACCATCACCGTTAGGATGTTTTATAATTTACAATAACACGAGACAATATCGTAGGAATATATCTACACGATATAATAGTGAAGCAAAATCTTTTCATTTTTCTATTATTAGTGACGCTAACAAGCAGAGGATCCACCTGATAGAAAGAGCTACTGTCGTCCAAAAACACCTACAACACGAGAGAAATTGCGTGTGCTTTGCCAGCCTTTTAAATGTTTGTAGGCATGTTTTTTGAAATTCCCCATATTATACTGTAAAGGGAAAACTGAAGACGCTCATACCACAACCCAGATGTACGAGGTACAAATGAATGAGATGCACGAACAGTAGTACTATGCCATGCACCCAAGAAATGAAGATGAACTCCGGCTCTATGGCGAGAAGTACGATAGTAAAAGGCTGCCAATGCTGACAAAGGCTGTAAAAGGCTACCATGAGATGAAGTTCCGAAGTTTCGGGCTCAATTTCGTGTTTTTGTTTATACCAAAATCGGACCAATAAATGGAGTTTAACATTTCGTTCGTCATAAATCCTACCATAAAAGTCCCAAGGAATAATATTTTCATATTTTTAATGTTTTTAAACGGTAAGTATTATGTAATTTTAACATTAAATTTCTGTTTCGTTCGGCTTCGAAATTTCGGAAAACATTTCATGGTAAGCCCTCAGGTCATTCCCCACAGAGCCTAGAATATTCCCTATTGTACATTTGTACAAATGTACGTAGTTGTAAGGAAACATTCTTAATATGCATAATATAAAGGCATCAATGAATGGAGGTACAATGGCGCATCCATCTATACTAATGACATACAATAGCACACCAGGACACCAGTGGAGGACGAAATGATAACGGTGAAGTCAGATCAATTGCTCTAACGTGGCTAGTTCACTAAGAATTAACTTCCAGAAGTAACCATGTAGAAATCGGGCTTAATAGGGTATATTCCTAATCCCCATCACTAGAATCCCTTTCCGCCTGGGATAATGGTATCACACTTACTTCTTTCCTAGCAGTTGTCCAAAGGACACACTTGACAGATGAATCCGTCCTGAATTATTATTTAATAGTAAATCATTGAACCACTTCTGAGATTTTGGAAAAGTTCTGAAAACATATCTTTTCAGATGAAAAGAAATCCAAATCGGTTTATAAATGACAGAGTTATGAGGTAAAAAAAAAGCGCAAAACACAGCCGAATTGAAAACCTCTTCCGCTTTCAAAAGTCGATTAAAAATACGACTGTAACATACAATTTTGCACGCCTATTATATCGTGACAGTAAAATCGTAAAATCGTATAATCTCGTGGCGTGTTACGATAAATTATAAAACCCCTATTCAAAAATCACACATTAACGTACAATCTATTTCAATAGAACGTAAACAAATTTGGTTGAAATTATCACAAAATGAATTCAATGTCACGAATTAATAAGTAACCAATCAAAATTAATCCAATTAATTAATTGGGTGTTTTGATTGGTTTAAGGTTTCATTTGTACTACTTACTATTGGACATCAGCAGACTGTCTTATGGTGGGATCAATTCATTTGTTTACGCTTTCAGTTCTATTAAAATAGATCACAGCCATGATCACAGAACCGAACAATACTTATATACAATTTCCCATAAAGTTAGTTACCCTAAGAAAGGTAGTAAATATATATATATATATATATATATGTATACCATAGTAATAATTTCACTAGCCCATTTTTATGTACAATATTTTTTTTTATAACATTATGCACACTTATGTTTAAACTAGTGTAAAGCCCGATTTACATTGTGAAACTATTTTCAATGATCCAGATGAAAGAAATTTTGTAATGTAAATTCATTATTGCAAACTCAAACAATCTCTGCAATCATTGACTAGTCAACTTGCTTTGTTTAACGTCGTAATTACACGTCGAAATTAGATGAATGACATTAGTTTTATTAAAAACCGCTCGGGGCACGAAACTGTTTTAGTGTCATAAACTAGTTCCATAAGACTAGTTTCGTAATGTAAATTAGGATTATTAAACACATTTATCAAATATAGATTAAAAGTGCTTCAATAGCTCTAGACTTATATGGATCCTATGCATTTGATATTAAGTACTAAAATCAATTTAACATACCTGTACTAACAAATACTATATTTATAAGTTTCACTTGATAGTAATTTTTATGTAGCAATAATATCGTTTAGGTGAAGAGCTAAATTAGGGAGTAGTAAAAATAGGGAGAGGGGCACAACTCCCTTCAAAAATGGGAGGATATGAAGACCCCAAAAGCGGGCATGAACTATATGGTAAGGTGCTTGGCCCAAATACTAGAATCTGAAATGTATTTTTTAACTAAGAGAAAAAACTGTTTTTGTAAAATGGAGGCATAGCTCACAAAACTGCGAAGCGAATCGAAGCGAATGTCTATTTAGAAATTACTATGAAGGCAATATGTAAAAATGCAATTAATGTTATAAAGTATTTATTGGAATAAGTACAAAGTAAAAAAAAAATATGTATGTTTAATCGAACATTTAAGAAGTATCTCAGTTCAAAATTATTTGGCACTATTCTATCGACATCGAGAATACAATTGTTTACCAAAACACAAAGTTTCCATCAAATTATTATATATTAAATATCTTATTATGTATTATATATAGATATATATATATATATATATATATATATATATATATATATATATATATATATATATATATATTAATAACCCCGGTAACATAACGGTAAAGAAACTGGTTTCGCATAAACCAAATCCCGCGTTCAATTTATTACTTTAATTAATAAAACAATGCAATTTTATTAACACGACATGTGACCGCATTGTGAGCGAACATACAGACAATGTAATTCCTTGAATATGATCAACCGAAAAAGGAATATTCTACTGTCAACGGTTGGCGGCACTGTACCGACTTACTAAATGCTTTTTAGGATATGTTTAAGGGATCCCAAGTTATAGAATGAATGGAACACATCACGGAAGAGGTTATTCCACAATCCTATGCTACAGTTTGCGTAGGAATTTGTAAGTTTACAAATAGTAAGCATAAAAATATAATTATAAGAAAAAAGAATAGTTCATCGCATTTCTTTAAATGATAATAAAACCTGATAAACAAAAAAAATTAAGTACCGAATTTATTAATTACGCATATTAGCTTTACGCACAGATTAGCTAACATTGTTGAAATCAATTTTCAAAAACACTAAACTTAATAATAATATGTGTTGAATTAATTTTCCTAAATTTCTCTATATGATAATAATAAATGAAAAACAAAACAAAATTTAAGTACAGAAATTTCTAAAAAAGCTTTTAAATCGAAATCGAAAAAATAGACCTAAAATCTAATTAAATGTATAAACACAAACCCTACTGTTACATCGCAATGTCCAATAAACATTACTGTTTATATTCATATGTTTTGTCACTTTCTTTCCAATTATATTGAAGGCAGACAAAAAGAGATAAAAATATTCACTCGTTATAGGTTTATTCTATGTTTGACGTGAGTGACTATGTTTGACAAATTCTATTCCTATCACGCCGCGGAATGCCTAAAGCGATATTAAAATCATATTACAAAGACACAAAGTCTAATAATATAGAATTCATTTTCGTGCCGCGTATTTTTATTTTCCATTAAAATTTTATATAATACTTATTAAAAATACTTCTAATATTTCTTGGCATCTACATTGGAAGAAGCCGGTATAAGTACTGTATTTATGATTAATGAATTATTGACTATGCAATATTTTATTGTTACATATATATATACTAACGATCAATGTTTTATATAGGCTTATATACATTTACATATGTACATAGAAGTATCGTCTTCCATCTCTAACAAGGGCACCTATGCAGGTTTTGTAATCTTCAGAGATCAACATCCGAATAATCTAGACGCATACTCGATGGCATAGACTATTGGCATATAGTTGTGCATCATTGTAAATCGATTTAATAAACATAATTGAACTTTGACAGGTGTTATCTCAATTTTAGTTAATTTTGCCTTTTTTTTTAAAACACAGGTAGCAAACGAGCATGCGGCTCACCTGATGGTAAGTGACTACCGCCACCCATGGTCACCCACAACACCTACGGCATTGCAGGTGTGCTGCCGGCCTTTTAAAAAGGAATATGCTCTTTTCTTGAAGGTTATATTGTCGTATCGGTTCGGAAATACTGCTGCTGGAAGTTGATTCAAAAGTTTTATTAACTGTTACCACCACTATATAATACTGCACGTAATAATAGTGTTTGATCTTTAAACATAACTAAAGAACGAATTAAAAACACGATTTAAAAAAAATTCGACATAAATCATTTTAAAATTAATTAAAATAATATAATGAAATAGGTATCCTTAATTTACTCAAAATAGTTTTTAATCAACTTAGAATGGCTAATAAGCTAACGTCCCACTTGATGGAAAGGTAACCGTCGCCTATAGACATGAGCAGTATCGTGGACATAACAGAGTATACTGTTTCGCCCATGATACCCCCCATGCGTCGCCATTTCTAAGAACTAAGGTGTTATTCCTCTGTATTTTGTAAATTCACTGCCATAACCCACTCTTTAAACCGAAACACAGCCATGTAAACACAACTACTTCACGGTAGAAACATGAATGGGACAGAAGCACCCAAACCAACGACTTTTGTAGAAAATCTTCCTCTGGTAAAGTTGAATAATTATTATTATTATTATATTTATTTTAAATATGTTATGGCTTCTAATTTTTATAACAATTCACAACTATAGGCAAGGACGTGCTCTCTCCGCCTCTACATTCTTCACGTATGGTAAGTTTTTATTTTCTTTTATCACCAACTCTGCATAGACACCCTTTTAACTTTTCAAACAGAATTTCTACAATAATTTACTTCTAACTTTTTTCTAACTCAGACATAATGAGGCTAATTCAAAAAAGATTTTTCTCCAAATCTGACCCTAATTTAAGAGATACCTAGACGTATCTCTGAGTAATATAGACTAGAATTATCACTGACTAATATAGAAAATCTTCAAGCGAACAGGAATTTATCGATACGCGCGAATAACGCTGCGTAAAACCATGCTAAAAAAGTTTTAAGTTTAACAGAAAAATAAATTATTTTATAGTGTTACCATCTCTTACTGTAAATGTTCATTTCATTCAGAACTGCGATAGATAAATGCAGTAAGTGAAATATAAATCTATTTACGCTTTATTTTAATCCTAATTATGTATACCATATAATTATTGGCACATCTCTGAAGTAGGATATATTTCATTCAATCAAATTATGTATGTACATAAAATAAAGTTCCTATAGTATAATTAAAAAAAAATATCTGGAACGTATCTTTAAAATTGTTTATGGACGTTAGGATTTAGTACACAATCGGTAAAACGGATTGCTGGATTGATCTCTTTTTATATTACGCAGTTAAACTTGTCAATAAGTTTAACTATAGACGTACCATTTAGACAAAACATTTGAGAGGTTAAGGCAAGACAATACAAATGCAGGGTGAAGTCCAAAACATTAGTCTCTTTTTAAGGAAGTTAAAAAAATTCTAAATAAATATGGGTCCTTAACCACCTATACTAACTTGTCAGCTAGATGTGTTAGTACCGACTCTTTACAAACTTTTTACAGCACAAATGAGACAAAAAAGCAAGAGCCAGAAAATTATACAACCATGAAAAAACATTAATGACAAAAGAGTGCGTAAAAAGAATATAAGAGTCGCATCCACACATCAATTAAAGACCGATAGTGTGCCAAATCGTGACGTTCGTCGACAGGTTATGGCCCCATTCATATAGCAACACACTGCATATTTTCTTGCAGGATAAATCTTATTAATGTGGTAATACAGCATATATCTGCTATACAACAGTTCACACGACGTTTTTACTTTTTTTTCAGTACAAACCATAATAAAGAGACGTTTTTTTTTTTTTTATTTACCACAGCACAACACGATATCGTACGATTTTACCATCAAGATATAAATATCACAGCAAACTGTATGCAATTGTATGGAGACGCTTTCAATTTTCCACAATATCGTATACATGTAAGAATTTTTATTTTTTTTTATTTTACTATTCTATGATCTCGTGCCAGTAAAATGGTACGATATCGTACCGTGGCACGAAAAATTACAAAACCGTCAATTGTATTCTAAATATAATATATACGCTATTACCATATCGGCAACCTTCCAACAAACATGCGGTGTATTACAATATGTCCAAAGCCTTTTATTGGAATTCAATACTAAATTGGATCTTGAAAGATTCAATAATCGATTATTATTAACTCCGAAGTAACTGCTATTTATTATCTAGGTTATTGGGAATATTGTATCGTGTACAAATATAATAATGTTTCTTACACCATTACAAAAAGGTATATAATAGTTTACAATATACAGCCAACAATATACTCGTAAATTCACAAAAAAAACATATTAATTATTGATTAGAAAATTAAACATAATAAAATTAATTTATATTGTTATTTATAGTGAAACAGTCTGGCGTGATACGGCAGCATTTTCGACGTTAATTATTATTATTTGCGGATTTTTTGCACGCGTCAAAACGTCAAAAACACCTTAGAATCGTTGTAACAATTTAAAATAACGTTGACTGTACATTGTTGTACAATTAAGGCTATTTCACAGCATCATTTCCAATTATAAACAAACAATAAACGTCATCAGTGACTCGTTAGATATGAATTGTGTCCGCATTCCATCGGGTCAGTTAATATTTTACTGGTTCACCATCATCTTATGGGAATACAATAATAACAAATACGTTTGTGGTAACTGTTGTCATGTTGGCATGACTGGTTAAACAAATTTTACGTGCAATATGTCAAATTTACGTGCCTATTCTATATTTTAGGTCATAAATATATATTTGGAAACAAATTGTTTTATAAAACAATTTTTTTAATAATTCTGCACGAGACACTAGGTAGGGTTAACTACAAAAAATAATTTATTAAGTATTCTATGGCCTCGAAAGTTTAAGAACCAATATGTCTATTAAATTATACCCGTGTTCATAATCTCATATTGAACTTTAGTTACTATAGTATTGATATTCGTGGTACATTCACCGCATGTAAATACTTATGTCTGCGAAGAGCCGTAAGTTCCAGCTGGCGGGCGATAATCTTGAGGCAGGGCCATCACTTGCTTCTTGGTGAACGCGTACTTCCTCACCCCGATGTTCTTGTGTGTGTTCTCTCGTCGACAGCCCTCGCTGAAAATCAGATAATTTAATATTAATTTTTAATAAAACGCAGGCACATATTTTTTTTTTATAAATTCTATTTCTTTTTAGCTGTTAACTGTCCACTGCTGAACGTAAACCTTCATCATAATGGAAGTTTTGCCAGTAGCTGTCATGCTTGGTAGGCGGGTTGGCAACCGAAGTTAGGCTTTTAAACATGTTTTAAGAGGGATGCTGCTGCCCATTTCTCTACCATTATGTTCCATTTTTTTTATGGGTGAAAATGGTATGATAACCCCGCCTGTGCTAACGGGATACGCTGGCGGAGCACCAGTGAAGGGTGATAGATGAGAATGAAAACAGGCCAGTTAGCCCATAATGATGAATTCATCTGGAATTAACTACGACAGTTTCCAGGGAGAACCGCGAGGAGGTCGACCTGGTTGGGTATATTGCTAGCAATAGGATTCTCAGCCTCCATTACTAACAATCCCTTCCCCCGCCCCATTATGTTCCCTTAGTCCCCTCTTACGACACCAACGGGAAAGGAAGGGGTAGCCTATTCTATACCGGGACCACACGGCTAATCATGTTTTAAATCAAGTGGGAACAAAGAATTATGAATATATTCATATATTATGATAACCCTCAACACTAATATATTTCCAACCAAATTTAATGGACTTCTAACACTAAAAGTGTAATATAGGTCCAAAACCTTTTTTATTGGTCGGATAAAGTATAGTTATTTTATGAATTAGGTATATCCACTTTATACAGGGTTGTCACTCGAGAATATTTTTCCCTATAGTACTATTCAGAACAAACCTGCGCATAATACTGAGTGCCTTCTGCATTTCATGTTCAGCGAGATGGTATTCGGTGGCCAGGATTGAACACTGCTCCAAAGTAACTGACATCCCTGTGCGGTCTTTAGCGCTCTTGCACGATGTGAACCTTATGCCTGTGAAACAAGTGCTAATTTAGCAATAGCTTTTTAAGCTCTATTTATTCTTATATGGTAAATAATATTGATACGTTTGTTGCTAAAAAGGACTAAAATTGCTGGAATATTTATTATTATTATTTACATTTTCTTTTATTTTTTAATTAACACCTTCGAAAAAATTCATGTAAAGATAGTTCTGAATATACTAATTATAATATATATAAATACAGAATTTTTATCATGTTCTTAGTTTATTTATTCTTCTGGTTGGCATATTTCTTCAAATATCTACATTTTACAACTTTCTGAATACTATATATATATATATATATATATATATATATATATATATATATATATATATATATATATATATATATATAAAAAATCGCTTTTAGCGATAAGGCCATCTATTGTTTGCTCACTGTGATCATTTCTTGTAATTGTTTGTTTCTATAATAAGTTTACTACTGTAATCTTTTGGAGGGACTAATAAAGAGTATCTATCTATCTATTTATAGTACATATACAACCAATTAGTTGCATAATATATAGCAAATATGATTATTTTGTGAGACCGTTTCATACCATTCATGAGCCTGGTCGCCAGTGCCGATAAATGTAACACCTCTACGTTCTTCGGCACCTTCTTGTGTACCACTATCCTTAGATTCTCCATCACCTCCTCCAACGGTTTCGTTCTTGGCGAAGCTGCAATACATAAATAATTTAATAATTTCTTTAAGAAAATGCCAACTACAATTATAGTAAATTGAAGCAACACTGTAGAAAAAAAAATTGTCATTAAGATTGATTCATAACTGAGGCCGAGTAATATCCCTTCACAAAAATACAGGAGAACTTAATAGCTGCACAAGTACATGCAAATATGCCCATTGACATTCTAACACTTTAAAAAAGTTAAAGATACATTTAAATTAATTTTAAAATTTTAATTGTATGCATGTTTCAACGAAAATAGATATTGCAGCATGTGTTGTATTTGTAATATCTATTTTGGTAGGAACAGGGAGTAAGTAGCTTTTTTATTTGTTTTTTATGCAACTTAAATGGCAAACAAGCTGACGGCCCACCTGATGGAAAATGGTAACCATTGCCAATAAACATGAATAGTATCATGGACATAACAGAGTATACTGTTTCGCCCATGATACCTCCATGCGTTGCCATTCCTGAGGACTAATGTTATGCCTCTGTACCCTGTAAATTCACTACCATATCCCACCCTTTAAACCGAAACACAGCCATGCAAACACAACTGCTTCACAGTAGAAATATGATTGGGTCAGAGATACCCAAGCAACGGACTTTTATACAAATAGTACTCCCTCTGATAAGTAAGATAAGATAGTAAGTAGTTTAATAAATTATATGTATTTGATATTTTTGTGCATTACAAGTTTTTGTATTTTATGCATGAAAATTATTAATTCACTCTTACGCCACTTGCCCTTTTCTATCTGTTCTCCTTTAACCAAAGGTTGTCTGTAAGAGATTGCCCTAGCGATAAGACCGCCTTTTGTACCTTTATGTGTATATTTCAATCTGTATTAATGTTACTGTATTTCATTTGAATTATTCACTTGTCATTGTATATTTTTATTTATGGTGCAATAAAGAGTTAAATAAATAAAGCTAAATATGAAATAGTAACCTCTGGTCGCATGATCGGCTGGAAACACCTTGCAGTACTTGTGGTAATATTTATTGAGCCGGTCCAGGTTGTCGCTGTTGGAATGATACTGCGGCGTGGTCTCGCCGAGCGCCTCCGCTAATGTCGCCTTCTCATTAATACCGATGTTGAACAGCACCGCCGTTATTGTGAATGACAGGTGCTGGAAACGGTGTCACGTGGTCAAACTATGACGTCAGTGGTGCATCAAGTTAACAGGCCTTCCGATTGTAACACACAACACTCCAAAATCGTGACACAATTTAGAACATAACAGATTTCTTTGTACCTAAATATATATACACACCCACCGCCAATCGACCTGTAACCAGCGTGGGGGAGAGGGATTTTTTTTGTAATGCGGACTACTAATAGCTTATTAATAGACTTTGCTAGCAATATACCCTGTCAGGTCGACCTCCACGTGGTCTCCCCTGGAAACCAGCGTGCTGAATTTACTTACTTTTCCTACTTCTGATATACGCATAAATATAAGTAAGCAAAAAACTAGAAACAATTTATTTATAGCAATTAAATATTCAAATTTGATTTGACTTACAAAAGAAAATTGTTAAAAGCTTTACTAGTATTATAAATGTGAAAGTGAGTTCGTTTATGAGGCAGTAAGAACCTTATAGCGCCTTCACGGCTGAATTAATCACTATAAAATTTGGTACATCTATACTTATAATAAATCTGTAGAGAGGTCAATTCTGTACATGTAATATATTTCCAAAATAACTATCAGGGGGTGATTAGTGATGGCTACTGATGCCAAAAATGCAATCAGTAAAATTTTTGTCTGTCTGTCTGTATGTTCGTTACATAAACAAAAACTACTCGACGGATTTTAATGAAACTTGGTACAATTATTCTTCATACTCCTGGGCAGGTTATAATATACTTTTCATCACGCTACGATCAATAGGAGCAGAGCAGTTATGGGAAATATTAAAAATATCCACCCGTGCCACGCCGGAACGGGCCGCTAGTACATACTATAAAGGATGGAGAAGGCTAGAGGCTACTTTTAATCCTGACCAGTAAACATATTGCCTTCAAACAGACGAAGTCGCGAGTAAAAGCTAGTAGTCTATAAATGTTTGTCTATAACAACTTTAAATGTGTTATATATCAACTGCGAATTTTGAATGAAAAATCAACTGACCTCTTTAGACGTGAATTTGGAGTGCAGCGACTCGGACACGGGTAGATACACTGTCAGCGCTCCCCTGCTGCCGGAAACTTGAGGTATCGCGGTGTTACTGGAAGTGTTATTGCAGCGCTATTTATACTGTCTACATACATGTATAACTTTTTTTTTATTTTTATAAGTTTGTGAATTTTCATAATTGTTTTGACATCATCCGGATATCAGGAAGTGTACGGAGTTTTGTATTACAGCGTGTCTTCTCAAACTTCTTATTTATCAAAATTATTAAATAAATGCTAATATTAAACTGCTGTAATCGACCGACTTCAAAAAAATAGAATTTTAATTCGGTTGAATTTTAAAAACTATTTTTTATCTAAAAAGACAATTGAAGGGGATTTTGTTTTTTTTTTTTGCGAAACGAAATCAATTATTACAATAATAGTTATAATAACTTGACTCGCCTGTGCCCAACTTTAGTTAGCGTGAACACAACAGTCTGCAGGTCCTCCACAGCGACCACCATGTCGCCCCACATCGCCTTTTCGGTTGAATACAAGCTGAGCAAGGCTTCGAACCCGCACAGTGGGCCGAGACCGGTGCTGAGCAGTTTCACCACCACGTCGCCTGGCACTGAGCACAGCCAGCACAGCAAACCCGTTGTTACTGTCGTCAACTGAAATGTTTACAGCTATTAAGTTCTCGAAAGATACCAATAGGTAAATAGGGAACAATTTCGAGAACATCGTGACACGGGATTTGTATATGTATATATATTAACATCTCTATATGTATTCCTGATAGAAAGCATCTCCTATAGACATGAACAGTATGATGGATGATAATTGAACGGTAACCCTGCCCGAGTTAACAGTATGCACTGGTGTGGTACCAGTGAGGGATGATAAGCGAGAATGAAAGGGCAGGTCAGTTAGCCCATCGTGATCAATACACGAGGAATACAGCACGATGGCTGCCAAGGGGACCACAAGGAGGTCGACCTGATAGGGTATATTATTAGCAATGCGACTAGTAGTTCGTCTTACTAACAATCTCTTTCCCCTCCCCCTCCGGTACCTATGATATTCATAATGATGTTACATCTCCATACCTAATAATTTCACTGCCATATTTCACCCTTTAAACTGAAATACAGCCATAAATGACAGAACCACAGATGAGACAGATCTTTATCTCGATTACTATCTACTTATAATTACTTTAGTACCAAGTCTCCAAAATATACATTAACCCTTCTTTGCATGATTTTTTTTTTTATTGGTGAAATCAAAGTCATATAATCAAAGTGATATAATTCATGTTTAAAATTAAAGGAAAAATGGTTAAAACAATAAATTTGACAGCTATGTTTATTTAAGCAATGGACAATAAAAAATGTTCCAGACACAATCCACTTAAACTTGGTCTTATAAGTTTTAGGCATTCAATGTTATGATGGAAATTTACTCCAGTTTATTTTTTAATGAATGATAATGGAATGGTAACCCCACCCGCGCTAACGGTATACACCGGCGGGGCACCAGTGAAGAATGATAGGTGAGGATGAAGCAGGTCAGTTAGCCCATCGTGACGAATTCAATAAGAATTATTCACGATGGTTTCCAGGGGGACCACGTGGAGGCCGACCTAATAAGGCAAATTGCTAATAACTTGCTGTCAAACTGCATTGCTAACAATCCCTTTCCCCCCTAATTTACACCAGCATGCAAAGAAGGATTAAGACGATGACTGAATTGATATTTACCGCTTGGGAGAAGCACGTGTCTCTTCTTGTTTGTAGGGCGGCCCGCTCTTTCGCCCAGCTGGGTGCTTCGTACCTGAGCCGGAGAGCCGCGTGCGACACCCGTAGCCACCTGGCCACCTCGCCTGTACTACACTTCAGTGACTCCATGTGAGACTTCAACTGTTCCAGGTGCTCTTCTGATGTAGAAACTATGAAATATTATACTTTGTTAGATTTGTCAACAAATAACTCCTTTTTATGCAACTTAAAATGGCAAACAAGCTGACGGCCCACCTGATGGAAAGTGGTGACCGTCACCTATAGACATGAGCAGTAACATGGACAGAGTATACTGTTTCGCGCATGATACCCTAAAATGCGTTGCCATTCCTGAGAACTCAGGTGTTATTCCTCTGTACCCAGTAAATTCACTGCCATATCCCACCCTTCAAACCGAAACACAGCCATGCAAACACAACTGCTTCACGGTAGAAACACAAATGGGACAGAGATAACGAACTGTTAGTTGACAAATGAATACTAAACAAATATAATTTTACTAGCGACCCGCCCGGGCTTCGCATGGGTGTACATCACATCACATTAGAAATTTCTATTATATCATTAGAAACCTCTAAAATTATCAGTGTTTATTATACAAACGAACCTTCCTATTGAATCACTCTATACATACATACATACATACATATCTGTCACGCCTGTCTCCCATTAGGGTAGGCAGAAATAATGGAACGCCAAATGCTTCAATCTATTAAAAAAAGCGAATCAAAATCCGTTGCTTAGTTTTAAAGGTCTAAGCATACGTAGAGACAGACAGACGGGAAGCGACTTTATTTTATACTATGTAGTGATTAATTATGTATAAAAATGTTACATGCTAAACTGACTGAATGTGCAAGCTAGTTATTGTCATTGATACCATCCCATTACGTACCACATTCACAGCAAATAAACATCATTTCATTTCATTGTTTTAACTCCGCTTACCATCAGACGGGCCGTATGCTAGTTTGCCATAGTACTATAAAAAAATAACACTTATATTCTATTTAAAAAAAATGGCAAACAATAATATTGGGGGGATTGTTAGTAATGGGGACTGAGAATCCCATTGTTAGCAATATACCCAACCAGGTCGACCTCCTCGCGGTTCTCCCTGGTAACTATCATGGTTAATTCCTGATGAATTTATGATGATAGGCTAACTGGCCTGTTTTCATTCTCATCTATCACCCTTCACTGGTGCTCCGCCAGCTTATCCCGTTAGCGCAGGCAGAGTTACCGTTACCATACCATTTTCACCTATAAAAAAAAAACAATAATATTACCATCATAATCAACAGCAGCGGTCGCGACCCCGGCAGCGACGTACGTGAGCGCCTCCTCAACGTTGCTGCCAACACCGCGAAGATACGCCAAGTGGTGCTCACGGACTGTGGGGTCCTGCGCCGGGAACGGGATCGATTCCCGTCTGTGCTCGGTGCCCTGATAAACAAGTATAGTTTTTTTTTTTTTTTTATAATGACATGTGATCACAGTTCTGTACGATTAAAGGAAACTAATTATTAGTAATGGGTACTAGCATCCCCATTGCTAGCAATGTACCCTGTCAGGCGACCTTCGCACCGATCTTCGTGGAAACCATCGTGGTTAATTCTTTATGAATTCACCACGACGGTGAGGCTATTTCTGTCGCCTATTATCCCTTAATTGGCCGTGTAGTCCCGGCGTAGAATAGGCCACCCCTTCCTTTCCCGTAGCTATCGTAAGGGCCAACTAAGGAAGATCGAGGAATGGGCAGTAGCGTCCCTCTTAAAATATCTCTAAAGCCTGACTGCGGTTGCCAATCCGCCTGCCAAACGTGGCAACTACTGGCAAAACCCCCAAAGAGGAGGCTTATATTCAGCAGTGGACAGTTAAAGGCTAATATGATTATCCCTTACTGGTATCTCACCAGCGAGTTAATACTCCATTATCTCTCATCCATTATATCATTACTCGTATATAAAAAACCTTGTGGTAAGTTTTTTTTTTTGTACAACTTAGAATGGCAAACAAGCTGACGGCCCACCTGATGTAAAGTGGTAACCGTCGCCTATAGACATGAGCAGTACCATGGACATATCAGAGTATACTGTTTCGCCTATGATACCCCCCATGCGCTGCCATTCCTGAGGACTCAGGTGTTATTCCTCTGTACCTTATAAGTAACCATTGAAAACCTCATACTTTTCAAAGTTAGTTAAAAATAATACTATAAACCTTCATACTTTGTGCACAGAATAAGTATACAATAGAGAAAAAAAAGGAAAAATAACACAAGCTTTAAGATCTTACGTTCTTAAAAATTTAAATCAAAATTCGAATAGAAGCCATTTCGATCTGCTATTACCAACATCACCCGTCAAAGATTCGTGCGAAAATAATTAATTAAGACACATTCGCAATGAATTCGCTTTCACAACACCATTTACACAGCTATATAAATATAGTACATTACTGCAGCGGCCAGCAACTGAGGCATTGATGGACGAACGTACAAATGTGGGCTAAGGCGTAGCCGAGGCACCCATACGTGAGTCCATCAATGCCTAGTTGTGGCCAAGGCTTTTTTGTCATTCCATTTTTAAATTGTAGGACAGATATTAGTTTACATAGTAATTTATCTGGCCGCAAAACACGAGAGATATGGATTTTCATACAACTTTTGCCGGCCGCTGCCCGCATGTGTCTTGGCCAGTACGGCAATTTTGATTTATCTCGAAGAAGATTATCAAAATAATGCTCACATTTCCAAGCATGTTTGAGAAAAAGTAGATTTGCAATTGCAAAACAATCCCAATTAAAATGTACAAGAAGACCCATAATTCAATAAAATAAAAACAAACATTAAAATAGTTGAAATAGACGTGAAGACATCTAATTACTGTATTTACATACATATATACATATAAAAAGACTTGCCCTGTCTGAATGATAAACTTTATCACGTACAGCTATACGCAATGGGACCAAAAACTGTACGTCTTATTTTTTTTTTTTTGATGGAGTTACAAATTTGATATGGGTTTCTTTTATGTATCCCATCTTCTAAGTTAGGATATAACCCATCCATGTATATAATTTTATGCAAATCCGTTCAGTAGTTTTTGAATGAAAGAGTAACAAACAAACATCATTAGTTCACTAAGAAAATTTTATCATATAACAATTATGCTTTTTTATATATTTAGACTCTTAGAACTAGCTGACTAAACTTGACCCGCGTGAATCAATTTACAAAATACTAAATTTCAATCAAATCTGTTCACTAGTTTTTGCGTGAAAGAATAACAAACATTTAACACTCACAATTTTTCATGGTAATGATAGTAGAATAGGACTTTACAACACTTTCTTAGATATTCGGCATAATTAATATTATACAACCCACTTGTGGTGGGGGAAGGGATTGTTAGTAATAGGGGGGTTAGTCCCCATTGCTATCAATATACCCTTACAGGTCGACCTCCATGCGGTTCCCCTGGAAACCATCGTAACTAATTTACCGTTGAATTCGATGGGCTAACTGACCTGCCTTTTCATTCTCACTTATCATCTCTCACTGATATCCCGCCAGTGTATACCGATAGCGCAGGTGGGGTTATCATTCCATTATCATCCATTAAAAAAAACCCACTTGTGATAAGCACGTGGATAACTGTTTTGTGATTAATTTTAGTTCAATCCATATAATATATAATTGAGTATATATGTATTGTTATCCTTTTTAAAGAAAGATTAGGTAAAGCAGTATTTATGATTGCTAATTTCTAAACAGGCATTCAGTACAGTGGCCACAGAATTAAGTAGAAGGCGCAGGTTCAAATCCCGCTCATTTCAAAATTTTTTAGTCCCCCAATAAATATTAAAAGATAGTTTATATATTTCAATGATATTTCTAAAATAAAGAATTTCACATAAGTCCTCAACATTTAAAACTAATAATATTATTGCACGAGCAAAACCGCGGCAAACGGTATATATACAATAGCATTTAATTGTATTATATTTTTTGCAGAGCATCATAATTAACACATTTAGCAGTAAGTCATTTAAAACATGATAATTAATAGAAATAACTTACAGACATTAGAATAACTTGCACATTATAATCAGATGTATGCCTATTTAAATTTCAATATAATAAATATAAAACTAGGATATATGTATACATTGAATAGATATTATAATATCCTTTATTTTCAACCAACTTCAAAAAAAGAAGGTCCTCGATTCGATTGTGTCTCATTTATGTTTATTATTTCATAACTCCGTTAGTTCTAAACCGAATAAGACCATTCTTTTTATCTAGAAGGATATACTTACTGATTAGTCACATAGATATTTTATCAAAATCGGTGCAGTAATTTAATTTTAAAATCATAATTTCAAAAAAATAAAATAAAGGCTTTGTAAATAAAATATAACATTTAAACAACTAAAATAAACACTTTAATTTTGTATAAACTATTGAATTGCAAACGAGCTGATGGCCAAGCCGATGGAAAGTGATAACTATTGCCTATAGACATGAATTATCCATTTTCCGTCCACTGCTGAATATAGGCCTCTCCCATAGTCTGCTATAAAGAACGGTTCCTTATAGCAGTTTACCATTGGGGGATTATGCCAGTAATAACCACGCTTGGCAGGCGGGTCAGCAACCGCAATTTCGCTTTTGGTGATGCTTTATCTATCGACCATTAAGTTCCCTTAGTCTTAGTCCTTAAAAATAGATATATGCAAGCAAAATCGCAATCGCAATTAACTGCTAATCTTTAATAAATTTGCCACAATCTTTAAAGGTGTCAATAAGAAAATCGCTTAGCAAATTAGACACACAATTGTATATATTGAAACATATGATGTTTCTAAAGCTATTGGTAAAATATTTTTAAAATCAGTTAAGTAGTTTTCCATTACAAATATACAAAATATCAAATTTTACCTCTTCATATTTTTTATTATTAGTTTTATGTTTATCACTATAAACTTATTTAGCACTTAGCTTGACTTGTTGACAATAGGAACTAGAGGCCCAGAGTACTAGCAAATATCCTGTTAAGACGACCTCTGCCTGATCCCCCCAAGAAACCATCGTTTAACTGCTGGTGAATCCATCATGATGAGGCTAACTTGCCTTTATCCTCACTTATCATTCTGATGTCCCACCAGCATAAATCAATAGCATAAATAACTTATTACATAATTAAAAACTAATCAATAAATTTATAAATTTATTCCCATATTCATAAAAATATCAAATATCGATCTATTTTAGGTATAGAAGGATTTTCGTCTTTTTCTTTTGTGTTCATTTCAAAAAGAAAGTAATAAATACATAAAAGGTTATTGTTTTTATGAATAACAACAGTAAATGTACGCCTTAAAATGTAAAATAGAACACAGGTTTTACGGCCAATTAAGAGATATATCAAGTCGCATAGCTGAATGTGTGAAAGACATTAAATGTAATGACACCACATAATTGCTAGAGTGAGCTGAAATGATTCCATTCGCTGTGCACAAGTTAATTAAGACAGGTATTCTACATTTTAAATAAAACAATAATTATACATATCTATGCCAGCAAAAAAATTCGCTTGTGTTACGTATTATAGTAAAGCTCATCGCAAACGGAGCTATGATATGCATATTTTATTTTATCATCATCATATCAGCCGTTAATTGTCCACTGCTGAACATAGGCCTCCCCCATGTGTGAGTGTGTGGGGGGGGGGGGTATTACATCACCAAAATATGTGGAAAGATATAGTAGAGTATTATGCAAAACCAATTATGTCTATCTATCTATGTTCAAGTCTCTTGGTGGGTAAGCAGAGAGAACCGAGTGCTAATGAGTTCTATCCTTACATACATGTCTTGTTCCTTGCACTTTCATATATATATATATATATATATATATATATATATATATATCTGTGATGGTTTACCTCGCTTTTAAAGTCATTTAACACATTATTTGCTAGCTTATTTTTAACCAACTTAAAAAAAGTGATGAAACATTCTGTGCATATTTGTTCTATGAATTATTTCTATCACACCTGACATAAATCTATATAAATAAAAATTAATCACTAAACAAGAAAACACTGTGAAAAAAGCATTTAAATTACCAACATCGCAGCAATGCTGGTAATTTATAGAACACAGCGGCTTTTATGAGAAGATATTATTCATGATCTTGTAGCAGAATAAATAGAAAAAAAAATATGTAAAAAAAATATTTTATATAAAAAACAAGTTCCCCGGAAATATAAAAAAAAAAATTGTAGACAAACAAAAGTCATATACAGTACATCAAATAATAAAAGTGCTGAAAAATAATCATCATACCTTTTTCCTGTCGCCATTGAGACTGCTCATCAAACTTCTATACGAAACTTGTTCCAAAGAAGCGGAGCACTTGTAATCATTCCTGAGGCTTCCGTGCCTCACTTTGTTGTTATCGAATGACAGACTCTGCGTATCATTGAGACGGGGCTTCGCTAGTGACCGGACCGATCTGAACGACAGATTCAAACTGCTACGTTCCTTCTTTTCTGTTTTGAAGTAATTGTTATGGAAATGCAGTTCGGTGGCTTCTGCTCTTGCGTCCTTGTGGGTACAATTGGGGCATATGTTGGGCACGCTGGAGGAGAGGCTCGGGTAGTCCACAGTGGGGGAGGTCTCCTTGGAGGAAGAACTAGAGGAGGCGTCGAACGTGTCGCAATCGGAGCTCATCACGTCGAACACCGTTAACTGTTCTGTTAATTTCACAATAGTTGACATCACCTGAAGCAATAAACGAGTTCCAAGTTCGAATCTCAACCGGGCTAATTTAATTCCACAACGTTATTAAATTCCATATCCAACACCGACTAAACTAAAATCAATTTATTACCTGATTATCGTTGTCATCGTTGTAGTTATCATCTGGCCATCCGATAAACGACAAAGATTCTTCGACAGCAGTCGGCTCCCATAATGCGAGCAAACTTTTTACTTTACTCTTAACACCTTTTAGGCAGAAACAATGATTATGTTAATCGTTATGATAACAAAAAATATATATATATATAATAAAAAAATTCAATTATATCACGTTAAAATTAATCGATTTTAAAACACGACATAAATATCTTGTTAAAATAGAAGAAGGGTTTGATAATATCATCAGATCTTAGCATCATTTTCGACTGGTGACTTTTGCATGACCATTCTTGAAACTGTATTATTTTTAAAGATCAGTTGATAAAAGAAATAAATATTATAGAGAATTAAGAGCTCAAAAATATCGGTGTTGAAATAATTTAGTTAAAATTCTACAATTATGTCACAGACAACAATTGCTAATGTATGAAGACATTTTTCATTTCCACGCACATCCATGATAACACAGTAATAATGGCATACATTTTGCTTTTTTGTGACGTAAAATCACACTGTGCCATACTGTAATCTATAATAATGGAATAAAAATAAAGTGTTGGTTTGAACGTGCTAATCTCAGGATCTATCAGGCGAATTTGAAAAATTCTTTTTGTATTTGATAACTCATATCTTGAGGAAGGCTATTCAACATCATAACGTATTTAATTGTAATACGCCGTGGTCAATTACATATTATAAAAGTGTCCCATCACCTTTTGATATGGATTATGGCAATATAACTTAATGAGAAAGTGGACAAATAAATAATTGATCCGACTATAAACAGTTTACTAGTGTCCAATAGCAATACAAAGGGGGAAAGAGATTGTTAGCAATGGACTTTGACAGCGCCATTGCTGACGGTATGTCCTATCGGGTCGACCACCACGTGGTTCCCCCTGGAAACCATCGTAAACAATTATTTTTGAATTCGTCACGATGGGCTAACTGACCCGCTTCATCCTCATCTATCATCCTTCACTGGTGCCCCGCCGGTGTATACCGATAGCGCGGGTGGAGTTACTATTTCATTATCACCAATAATAAAAAAATAGCAATACAAATAAAAAAACGATTAAATGCCCATTAAATGTTTCGAAGTCTTATTAGTTTCATTCATGAGAATATTTCCATAGTAATTTCAGCAAACTTCGATCACCTTTTCATTATGTTTTATAGAAGCAGACCACTCACTTTCCAGAACGGCCACCGCTTCCGCCTTCTGCCTCGCCAGCAACAGCATCAGCAGCCTGTCGAGGTCGTCGGCCAGCTGCTCGCGGAGTCTCCTCACCGCCACCACGTTTTCGTACTCCGCTTGTATCTTATTCGTGGCCGAATTCCACTCGGCCTTCGTGCTGTTCACGTCCTTCACTTGCTGTACTAGTCTGATTAGAGGAAAACACAAAATTGTTAATTGATTGTAAATATTTATTTTAATAATCCACTTACTAAAGTTATATAGATATTAACAAAATAACGCCTAACTCAGTAAAGAAAAATATAAACCTTTCAGTAAGACGAGTAAGCAAAACAACATCTTAATAAACTGTAAAAAAGATGGTATACATTTACTAACTACTAGTTTTTACCGGCGACTTTGTCCACAAGACCGAGATACATTAACAAACCAAAACAAAAAGTAGCCTATATCCTTCTACGTCCCATATAGTCCATGTAAATTGCAAAGTGATTGGTTAAGATATTAAGACACTATAAGGTAAGAAATAAAAAACAAACATACTTTCACATTTATAATTTAGTAAGGGTGTAACTAGTATAATAAAAAAATGCACTAAAATAAACGTAGTGGTTGCTATACATTTTAACCAGTATATTATTTATAGGACTCGAAATAACAAAGTGATAACCTACGTGATGGACAGTGCTTGTGAAATTACAGGGTACAGAGACATAACATTAAGTCTTTTTTTTTTTATACAACTTAGAATGGCAAACAAGCTGACGGCCCACCTGATGGAAAGTGGTAACCGTCGCCTATAGACATGAGCAGTACCGTAGACATAACAGAGTATACTGTTTCACCCACGATACCCCCCATGCGTTGCCATTCCTGAGGACTCAGATGTTATTCCTCTGTACCCAGTAAATTTACGCCATATCCCACCCTTCAAACTGAAACACAGCCATGCAAACACAACTGCTTCACGGTTGAAACACGAATGGGACAGAGGTACCCAAGCCATCAACTTTTGTACAAAGTCTCCCTCTGGTCGTAATAATGGTATCCGATGAAGGTTACCATAGACAATACAGTATATTCCGGGATAGTCATGTTGCTGTTCATATCTACAGACAATAATCATTACATTCCAAGTGGTAGGTCAACAGTTTGTTTGTCATTCCATTTATAGCAATATTATAAACAGGAAATATTTGATTATTTATTTGTAATTGATAAACTCAAAAACTACTCAACTGATTTTAAAAGTTGTTCCACTTATGGAGAGCTATATTATCATCAAGCAACATAGACTATATATAATTATAAAAAAAATAGAGATCCTTACAAAAAATTGCTATAATGTAACCCAAGGTATCAAAAATTGTATACATAAAAAAAAAACAGTAACTTACGTGATTAGCCCTCGGCTCCGTTCAGCTCTATGGGTATGAGCAGCGAACGCACCGGCGGTGATAATATCATGGAAGCCGGTCTTGTTCAGCGTATCGTTGTGTACCCACATCCGTTGCAGGTGCAAGTTTATTGGCGCGAACTCTAGGCTGGCATCGTCTACGATTGAAAAAATATATAATAACGTAAAGTAAGTTACAATAAAATTATATAGGCTTCATAAGTAAAGCCAGTATAAATAAGAATAAGTATTACGAAGTTGAATTTTAATAAATCCTATATTAGATGTTAATTCTATCACCTTTCCTGCTGCTTGGCTTGAAATAGGCACTGTCCACTTGCTGCATGCAGAGCTTGGAGTGACAGTAGTGTTTGAGCAGTGACACGTGAATGTTGACCAGCTCCAGCTGCCGGGCCTGCCACTGGCTGCACATCTCGCCCACTGACAATAACTCCTCGAGAAGTTCCTTTTCTCGTTGGATGTAAATGTCTCTGATACATTACAAATACATTTTAATCATATTATATATACTATTTATATATTGTTATAACACTAATATGACAGAAAGAACTAGAAGTAAGCCAACATAGTATGGAAAAGATTATGTTATATATAAAAAATCAGGACAAAATTAATTTAAATACAATAAGAAAACAAACCAAAGTAAAAGATTTCATAGAAAGTACAAGAAAGAAAAAATGGCGTTGGACTGGGTATATGATAAGGGACCAAAACAAGAAGTGGACTAAAGAAGTGACCGAATGGTAACCAAGCAATGGTAAAAGAAACAGAGTGACCTGAATGGAATAGCAGGACCAAAGTGGCATCAAACCATACAAGATAGAAAGAAGTGGAAATCGTTGAAGGAGGCCTATATCACAAGACAAACTTATAGAAGACAATATTAAAGATAATAATAAAAGCATGAATAGTTGAATCTTATAATGTATTGTGCATGAATAAAACAATGTTATTTATCTATTTATTAACAGTTGTGAATGTATTATTTGTGTGAAATTGTACTATCAGTAATTAAAGACTATTATTATATTAAATTGAAAATAAATTATATATACTCGTATATGTTATTCCAGAGATAATATAAATTGTTGTTTTAATATAAATTAACCTACACAACAATTAAACCCAATACATTACTATATCATTCTCTTATAATATTTGGATAATTTGCAACAATTTACATTATCAACGAATAACATAATAAATATATTTGCAAAAATTCTATATACCCGTGCGTATAATATAGCCAAGCCGGATCACTAGTAAATAAATAATATATATATATATATATATATATATATATTACTATAACCCAAACCGCTATCCAGTATCTCTGCACATCCTAAATGTTGAGTGGTAGAGAATGGCAATAGTATTGAGTCCGCCTTTTGTACCACGTGTTATCAGTAGACTCTGTTATGTACATGGTATTGCTCATGTCTACAGACGACGGTTGCCACTTTCCATCAGGTGGACAGTCAGCTTGTTTGCCATTCAAAGAATCTATTATTATTCTCTACACAAAAATATTGTAAAATGTACTCACAACAACTGCATCGGCATCTGGTAACACAACTTTGGTTCTGCCATGATTTCGTGGACCGTAATATCTCCGCCGAGACCCGAATGAAATCTATATGTCACTTGGTGACTATTAGCAAAGTTCTGCTTTAATAAACTCCCATATGATGGAAACTTCAACTTGAGGCCTAGTCTCGGAGGGAGTGACTGCGACCGTCTATGGCAGAGTACTTTCTGTGGTATGTCTATGCAGTTTTTATCGTTTGTATGGCTGGGACTCGTGCCTATGTATGACGGCTCGAGACTCCATCCATTTATGGTGACGAAGCCAACCGGGCGATTTTCTCGCGTTTGTAAAGCCACGCGTAGTCTCTGTGCTTCCTGTGAAATATATTATTTTTATATTATTTATAATACCATGTACATAACAGAGTATAAGGTTTCACCCATGATATCCCCCATGCGTTGCTATTCCTGAGGACTAAGGTGTATAAGGTCTGCCATATCCCACCCTACAAACCAAAACACAGCCATGCAAACACAACTGTCTCACGGTAGAAATACGAATGGGACAAAGGTGTGAAAACGTATTGTCACAGTCTAAAGAAATCACTTTTGTGGTATCTATCAAGAACGCCAATCACCTGTATAGTGCTGAGTTGGAGTGCCGCAAATCCCATAGGCAAGGCGGTCTCGGAGACTCGTTCCTTCACGTCGTAAACAACTATCCGCACGAGCGCCTCGCCCGTGAGACCATCGCTCGCGCGGAACAGTATCGTCTTAGAGAAACACGGATTGCTGCATGTCTGCAAACAAATCATTAATTTAATACCCTTGGACATATTACGGATCACCATCTAGTCTCAAACTAACGTAAGCAGATCTTGTACTATGTTGTGAAACATATAATATTCACCTGTATCTTCATATTGTTATACAAATGCTTACATTTTGTTCATACAATATGATCCGATTTAAATGGGAATGTGACAGTGACATTATTAGGTAGATACTGTGAATTAATATATCACTAGAATTGGGACAACGCGAGAAATTTATACGTTTGTTATTTACAATCGGACAAATTATTATTTTTTTTTATGAAAGATTCATAATTTATTTGCCATTTCAACTCATATCCATTGGAGAATTGTTTTTAGTTCCTAATAATATCAAATTAAATTCTAGTATCCGACCGAGAAACTGACTTCGGATTTCAACCGAAGGTCCAGCCCAAATCCGAGTCTAGGTTAGACCGTCGGCCCAAATTCTTTCCAATTCTTCTCAACTGAGAATGAGAAAAAAATATTAACATGCAAAATATTAAAAATGCAAAAATATCATTGAATAATAATTATCGTGAGTCATACTGTATTGTAATTATTTAAGACGGCTTTACTCACGTTTTAAAGTCAAGAATGCCTGACTAGTTTCAAACCCAATGAGAGCCCTTATCTCGTGGCACGGCCGTGAACCGCGCTCGTGAATAAATTAAAAACGTGAGTAAAGACGATAGAAATAATTACAATGCAAAAAGTCTATTATATAATATGATTTTATTTTCTTGATGATTTGATTGAATCAGTTGATGCGAAATCGCCAAACCGTCTATTTAGCTTCAAAGAACGACCTGCGGTCAGATACTGATGCTACTAATTTGTTTACTACGTACACACCTCAACAATTTCAGTAGCTCCATATCTAACGCAGAGCCCCTTAGGGTACTTCACGAAGATAACAATGAGAGGCGTCGGCGGCCGACCGTGCGCGTCGCATATTAGATTGTCACATGATAGTGCTAGTTCGCATAGTGGGACTTCATTCATATCTGTAACAAAACAATACTTATGAAACAATGATAGGAGTGATTTCAGAGTAAATATATCGCGTAATGAAAATTGTTTGTTTTACAGCCACCTATCTGTACTGAATAGATTACTCGGGAAAAGTGTGAGCGTATTGTGAGCGTTATCATATATATATATATATATATATATATATATATATATAAGTACCATAACACAGAATGATTTATAGCATAAAAGAATTTAAATGTAATTCATCATTATTTACAGCATTATTATTTCATATCGATAAAATTTCAGTTATCACAATAATAATTACAAACATTTATCTAATCACTTAGATGTTTAATTAAAAAAAAAAACACTCACCAATAACTATACCCCTCTGTAATCGATAGTTCACTATATCTACAATAGGTCTGATCTTGTTCAGTCTTTCCTTCAAATCTGCAACCTGCGATTTTATATTCTCATATGACGCTAACTGTATGGCTTTCAGCCATAAGGTACGTTCGGATTCGTGAAACGTCGCCATCCTGTAGCATACTCCGTTCTCCCACACTGCAACAATACCATAACAACTTCAAGGGCTTGAGGGAAAACAATTGTTACTAACAAAGACTGTCATCCCTATTGTTAGCAATAGACCTTTATCAGGTAGACGCGATTTCCCCTGAAAACAATTGTGGTTCAATTTTATTGAATGCGTCGCAATGGAACAATTGAATTACGTTCTCCCTCACAGTACCCTGCCAGTCTATGCCGATAGTGCTGATGAGGTTATATATGTATATTCCGTTATTTAAAAAAAAAAAACTTTAAAGCCTGAGTATAATGTGGCTTATAATGCATAGTATGCTGATTAGGTTTTGTTATTGCTCTATATGTTCATATATAAAAGTTTGATTACTCGAGTCTTTTTTATGGATGATAAAAATATAGTAACCTAAGTCTGCATTATAGGTATATGCTGAGGGAGCACCAATGAATTAGTATTGAGTTATGAAGTGGAATTATTTAGAGTACATTACTATCAGTAGGGTCTTTAAATCTCAGTACTAACAATTCCCAACCTCCCCTGATTACCTAAGTTACCAACACATAACAATATCATGATATATATACCAATGCCTATTTATTATTACCATCATATCAGCTGTTACCTATCCACTGCTGAATGTAGGCCTACCCTATTAGGGGGGCTTTTGCCAGTACTTGCCACGCTCTTCAGGCGAGTTAGCAACCGCAATTAGGCTTTGGTAATGTTTTAAGAGAGACACTGCTACCCATCCCTTAAACACTACGTTACCTTAGTCACCACTTATGACACCCACGGAAAAGTAAATGGTGGTCGATTTTATGGTAGGACCACACTGCGATGTCTATTGCCAGTCTCTAATAGCCTTCACACACTTTTTACACACGTTATTATTACTGATCTAAAATATACTCTGAGGATTATTTTTTCTACTTGGACTTTATGTCCAAACAGGTCTAAGTCTGGGCAAAAGAGGCAAACAAATAAATATTTTTTCTATATACAAAATTATTTATTGTTAATGGATCACTAAAGAGACATTATTAGTGGGTCATTATTAGTCATTGATGGATCGTCATTAGCCATTAATGGTTATTATTAACATAATTAACTAATTACCTTTATTTTTATTGTAACTACTATCTAATCACGTCGTATTAAGTCTCAATCGTGAATTTATTGATGATACCTACGTATTTATAGAAACAGTCATTTATTATTTACATTTGCAAACTATGCATTATAACAATAATTGTTCATAATCATAAATTTATGCACACAATGGCAGTTGATACCATTGCTAACTGGCTCAAGGTCAATGCTTAACAAGTATGCAGGTTTTTTATAATGTTATAGTCAACAGAGTGACAATTTATAGTTAAAAATGAAAGAATAATAGCAAATATGTATGGCTTTAAAAATAGTGGCCAGTTTTTTTATATTTTTATATATTATTACCTTAAAAAAATTCTATATCCTCACTAGACTTACACTGTTTTAAACTATTATTCCTAAAGTTTGTATTATATCTATATCTATTAAGAGTAATCCCTACATATATAAATATAATTATAAATATAATTATATATATTATTATATTTCAGAAAAACAAGCACCTAGAGAATATCTCCTTACTTTGATAAGTTAGTACTTATAGTTGTTGAATTGAGTGATACTGGTGAATCGCAAGCCCATATGCCCCGTGTTGTAAAAAAAAATTGGCATTCATAGATTCTCTAGAGTGGTTTCCATTTTATTTTCACATTTTCAAAGTTTATAACTGCTTACCTTTGACCCTACCAGCCAAGGGAATAAATTACCACAATTTGTCTTTTGTCTATTGTTTTCTTTTTTAAATTCCTGTATTATTATTTACCTGAATTTGAGCTTTACTGAAGACATCACTTTGTCTGTGTGTAGATAATCAGAGACAGGAAAATTTAACACATATTGAAAGCACCCTTTTGGTGTTTTTAAGAGAACAATGTTTAAGGTTACGACTCACAATTTTGTTAACAATATAGGGATAGAATATCATACTCCCATTTATAAGGAAGTTTGGGAATAGCAGATTTATTGAGCCAGAAGAGAGCACCAGCAGTGGCCTGAAGACAAATGCCTCTCATTTACTAACCATGTCATCAGCGAGTCGTATAAGAGTTCCTGCAGATCAGCAGCCTCCTCAAGTCACCTCTTTCACCAGACCATGGAAGTACCATTTAGCAGATAGTAATAGTTTAGCCAGTAACAACCACTGAACCTATTTTTACAAAATTTTTTAGTCATAAATTTTCGATATAAATTTTACAATTATTAAAGATGTTCCTAATCTTCACACGGGTTCTTCATTATATTGAGTGCATAATTTTAAGCTAATAATAATAGCAACCATATGCCTAATAGTGCATTTATTTGTGTTGAAAATCATTTTTATATACACACCACATAGACAAGACACCAACTCCCTCTCATTTTCTGTTAGAATTACCTAAAAACAAGGTGTTAATTACTTAGGAAGCAAAAACTTTAAACACATACCAATTTGAAATGGCCAATGTCCATTCTCATCCTGTGATAGCAATTTAACTTGGTGGTTCCCTAAAACTATGACTCCCATAGGCTCATACCATGATTCTGGTCCCTTTAAATAGAACAGCAAGTTGCCTCTAAGACGAAACCAACGCACTGAACATCCTGGAATATTTATAATTAAATATTCAAATTTTTGTAATAATTGACATAAGTTAAAAATTAAATAATATTTTTTTGTAGATTACATTTTTTATTTGTATATTTTCATATTTATTAAAATAAATTGACTATCAATTTTTATCAAAATATCTTCAAAATAAATTATCCTTTTTTACTTGTGACAAACAAATAAAAAACATTCAATTGAAGGTATCAAAAATTTATTATCCCATTTATGGCCATTACAAACTAAAAAAAAAATCCAATTATGCCCATGATATTTGTAATAAATAGTGAATCACCTCCTAAAAATTTTCTTCTTATGAATAAAATATTAAATAAATTAAATTATCAATGTCAACAAATATCTCCTAATTATTGATAGTATTATATCATCTACTAATCACACTTAAAATTTGATAGATTTAAATTAAATTTGGTATATATTTATACCATATCATACATTAACACGTAAAACTATTTATTCTATTTCAGGCGAATAAAGAAACAATACACAGCTAAAAAACAATATTTTAATAAAAGCTCAAAGAATGTTCCTATATAATTAATATAATTCCTACTAATGCAGAATATTGAGTAGGCAATATTAAATAAAATAAATATAAAAAAATATTACGAAATATACTATTTAATATACGATAACAGACGTTGTGTTTACTGACCTTCAGATCTTCGAAAGAAACCATCCTGACGTTCTTTTAATACTAAAACGCCTTCTCGGTCAAACTTATTAGAAGTTTGGGATGCTAACGCAACCAACTCTTGCTTGTTGTATCTCATATTTTCCCTAATGGCATTTTATTTAAATAACAATATTACAACACCCGGAATCGGTACAAATGCGGTATATTAATTTAACGGTCACAATAAATTTATCCTATAAAACATTGTTTATTTATAAAAATATTACATTCCACTGATTCCGCTCACAAAAGTAAAAAAATTAAAGATATCTATAACAGTATTATTACTAGTTTTTAAAAATTCTAATCATGTAGGAAAATCGCTTAGAATTCTACGATTACATATTGAAAATATTCATGCTGAATTTGTGTCAGTCGAATGTGAAATTAAATGTCAACATAAAATGTCACCAGTGTCAGGGAATGTTATTTTTTTAAATGAATGTTAGCTAGGAGGAGTAAACTCATAAATCTTACTACATACTTATACTACAGCCCTTTTTGTGGATAATAATGTAATAGTAACCCCTTCCGCGCAAACGATATACGCTGGCGGAGTACCAGCAAGAGAGAAATAATAATAAGACAGGTTAACTAGTCCATCATGATGAATTCACCTGGAATTCATCATGTTGGCTTATTTAGTTATAATGATGATAATGATGAAGATAAATTAGTAATTATATGAAATTATCAAATTAAAATACTAAGAAACAGGCTTAAAGAATTGGCTCTTCAGAATCGACCTCATTATATGCGTTATTAGAGATGATAACTAGTCTAACTATATGGTTTAAATTGTTAATACATTATATGTGTTACGAGATAATGTATTTACAATGCGGAAAATATTTAAGATGAATTATTATAAAAAGGTCTTTATAAGATAATATATACGTCAGAATAGCCTTTAACTGGTTACTAATGAACATAAGCCTTTCCCTTGGTGGTCTTGTTAGTAGTTGCTACGCTTTGCAGACGGATTGGCAATCGCAGTTAGGTTTTGAAAATGTTTTAATAAAAATGATGCTAGAGATACTACAAATTTACGGTTTTCGGATTTTGTCCTTTACTTGTGATATATGACATTACTTTTTACCAAATTTCATAATTCTAGGTCAACGAGAATACAACGGATTGTGCTCAGAGGAATTATTCAATATGATGCCTACGGCCACTTTCTATCATCGTACGGCTCGCCATCGGCAGGGAGTTCACCCTCATACCTTACAGCCTAAATGGTCGCGTACAACGCGGTTTCAGAGATGCTTTCTCCCACGAACACTCAGGTTATGGAATGAGCTCCCTGCCGAGGTTTTCCCGAGAGACTACAGCATGGGGTTCTTCAAAAGGGGGTAAAGAGGTTTCTTCAGGGTCGGCAACGCGCGCGTAATACCTCTGGTATTGCAGGCGTTCATAGGCTACGGTAACCGCTTACCATCAGGTGGGCCGTATGCTTGTTTGCCACCTCAGTGGTATAAAAAAAAAAAAAAAAACACTATAGGTTTTAATTCCCTTTGCAAACGTCAAAATATGCGATATAAATGAAACATAAACGGCCATATCTTTTGATTGCGTCGATTTAGAAGTTTGATTTTTTCACTGCTTTAAGAGATTGCTGACCTGATGAATTGAATCTGTATACTATAATACATCGAAACTCAAAACTTTCAATTTTATTTAACAATTAGTAATTTTAGAAGTTTATAATTATTTATTTATTTAACTTTAAAATACATGTAATAAATTGTAAAGAGTATATATAATATTATACATATGATAGTCTATACATATTATATATATAGTTGGTTAAAAAACCAACTTTAAAAATAGGAGGAGGTCTGTTTGTACTTTTTTATGTTTGTTACTTTAGAACTGCATTATTTATGCGGAATATATGATATTTTGAAATATATTTTTTTATCTGATGTAGTCAAACGACTACATAAAAAAATATTATAATAGCTTTAGTAATCTTGTTTTTACAATAAGTCAGAATAGCTGGTTTTACTAATATTAATGTATGAATACATTACCATTCTTAAAGTCTGAAGTGTTATACTTCCATTTTTTTTTTTTTTTTACCATAGGGAGACTGTACAAAAGTTCGAAAACTTATATGCTATACGTAGTTCTGTCATGAAAAAGTCGTTTTTTTATGACTCTATTTCAGTTTGAAAGGGAGAATATATGGGATATAGCGGTGAAATTACAAGGTACAGGCATAACAGCTTGGTTTTCAGGAACGGCAACTCATGAAGGTATCACAGGCGACATAATATACTCTATGTCCATAATACTGTTCATATCTACGTGCGATGGTTACCACATTTCATTAGGTGAGCCGTCTGCTTTGTTGAAAAAAATTCAGTATGATGTACCTTTAAAACTGAAACACAAATAGTACAATAAATATAGAAGTATACCTTTATCGATTAGTAGGCAGTTATTTAACTAAATAGCTGACGCTAAGTTTGACAGTATTGGGTCGATTATAATATTTTTCGCACAACAGTTGTTGACCATATAGCTGGCTATTTAGCCGGCTATGACACATTGTTATAGCCGGTTAATTACATTATTAAAATTTCGGCTAGTTACCATCTCTTAATAACGTATGTATATAATGAGGTCGATTCTGAATAGCATTTATCTATACCTATCTTTTAATATTTTAATTTGATAATTTCATGAAAATACTGATTTATGGATCATCATGACTAAATTAATAATAATTTTGACTTAATTTTTTTTAGTTTATATTGATCTTCAACAACATTAAATTTTAATTTTAGAAACTAATTTAGAAAAATAGTACCACAGAATCACCACCATTTTTTTTATAAATACTTTTATTAGGTAATGCTTTTACTAAGAAACTGTTAAAATAGGCTTTATATGATCATACTATTTTTTGAAACCATACGTTGCTAAGATAAATTTTCTTTATGTTACTAAAAATCAAATGTTCAATTATATATTGAACTATGATTATATATTGAATTATGACTATATATTGAATTATGATTGTTCCGAGTCATCTGTATTATTTAAATAGATAAATTACTATTTTAGGTAATTACATTATATCAAGTCATTAAGTTTTTATCAACAATTTTTTCATTTAGACTAAAATATTTAGATAAATATTTCTATTTTTTTTTCTGTTTAAGACCTGATTTCGTAGTAAAAGGTGTAAACATATATGTAACATATGTTTATCGCATGTTTTTTGAGATAAAGATTTATGGGGCTAGTAATTTCTACGTTATGACATTGCTGTTAGATTAGGCGATTTTTCGCTTTTTAGGCTATCTAGAAAGGTATCAGAGCGACTGAAAATTCCGATTGGAGACCGATAACTATTTAGACTATTTTGATAAAAAATTTGCCACATTATAATAATTGTGGCAATTTTGATGTAACTTTAATAGAATCTTAGCAAAAAAGGTAACAACTTGTGAAATATATTTACCAAGATATCATTAAGTATCATTACACATTTAGTGGTATAAATGTCCAATGTAAAATGATATAACCCATCAAGAAATTGTTGTTGAAATCACAGGTGTTCACGGCAATAATGATAAATGTCCATCAGTCGCACTGACCGCCATCTTTCTGTAAAATTAGAAATAAAAATCTCAGATTTTGTCTCAACTGCGAAGGGTCAAACTTGAAAATTTAGAGAGAGAGAAAAAGAGAGCTAAAGCTTTTTATGACAAAAAAAGAAAAGCTCGTTTGACTGCTAGGCAAGATATCACAACAGTAGCAATAACAATGGATTTAAAAAAAAATGTTACACTACATAGTTCACTGCTGCAACCGATTAGAATTCGTCACATAATAGATTCTCCATAATAGATGTACTTATACATAGAATACGATCGTAACATGGCCTACTTCAATCAAAAGGCTAGGATTAAACTTCTTGAAGAATGGGCCGAACATGTGCGTGGAGCTCGACTGAAACCGAAACCTTTCAATATTATCAAACGCTCACAAGATGCATTTAAGAGCTGGACTGTATTTCTGAAACCGTTTTACAAAAAAACTTGTCCTTTGCCATACGACCTGGTGCGTGAATTTCGAGTCCAGAAGAAACACCCACAGCTCATATTTCACATTTTTTTTTGTAATAGTCCATGGGAATCTAGTGTGGACAATACACCAGCTTCTTTTCGGTCTATGAAGGCAGTTAATGAGGGCGAATTCAAATTACTTGGTTTGGCTTATAAAGACAAGCTGCCTATATCAACAGCAAAATATAACGACCTACAGTTCCTGAAAAAGTTATATAGGCCTGAAACGAGACATTATTACGATGAACTTCCCCATGCTGCAAATATTAAAGAATCAGAAGGCAATTAAAACAGTAATTTGCGTACCTATCATTATTGACTGTCAACGCAGTGTGGACAGTGATCGTTATAGTTCTGATTTTTAAAGACTTACTTTTGATTACATTATTTTTAATTAGTTTATAACACCCTAAAAACGACTACTTTCCAAGGAAATAATACTATGACATATTATTTAACTGTAATAAACAAAATTTAATTATCTTCAGGTCTGAGTTTTTTTTACATCGTTTATAAACTTAAAACTTAATTATCTTAAAACAAAAGACAAAGGAAATTGATCATTATTGCAGTGGACCCTTCATATGATACTTTATGTACATAAGAAAGAAAATTTATGTGATTTTAGGCCTTTAGGCAATAAAAAAATTTAGGCTACTCGGTCTCCCATATTTGGCGAATTTCGGTGCATTTTATCTGGTAACACTGCATTATGGTAAAATCAATATAGTCCATGACATTTTTAAATATGTAGAATATGATATTAAAATTCCGAAACAAATAAATTCTGACTTTTTAAAATCTAAAAAACAGTAATATGAAAAAACTTATATATGCTTAGATTCTTATAAAAAAAAAAAAATACATTGATTCTACAGTGTAGTCTCTCTTTATAGAGATTATTGCTAACGTCAGATGTATGTAGTCACGTGACAATTTCAACCAAAGACAAATCGTCTTTTTACTTCCACGCCCGGCGGCACCCCATGCCCCTGTTGAAAAACTTTTAAATTATACTTTTTAATGTTATTTACGAAAAAATGGATACTAGAAAGCTGACCGAAATATTGCGCGCCACCATCGATCCAAACCAGAGGCAGCAAGCTGAAGAACAACTTTCTCAGGTAGGTGAATTAGCAAATATCCACATGCTCTGGAATTTTATAACACGGCTAAATTGCAAAGCACAGCAAAATCTATTAACACGCATTGTATTTGATGCTTTTGAAATCGGTCGTACAATAACATGCCGCGCTGGTGATAATCTTTTCACCATGTTTTTCTAAAACCTATGAACGCTTACTTAGCTAGTTTTAAAATTGCCATGCAGTTACGGATGTACCCTGCAATTTTATATTCTTAACCTTCGACCTAACCTTGACCATACGGCCATTGACATGTTTTAGCAAGCATGACAAAGCGCCACTACAACTCATATAACCAAACTGCTGAAGCTAATGAAAAAAGATTGGATTTTTTCCCATAACTAAATAGGAAATTATTGCCTTTGTAATTTTCTAAAAAAATACTCAATCCTATTTTAATTACATTATATTTTTTTATATAATTAATAAACAATATTTAAGTCATCATTTATTCATATTACAAATTCTATTAAATATAAAAGTTTGTAAGCTTGAATACCTAAAAACTAAAGTACTTAACCAATTTTGGTAAACTAACCTTGGTACCGGGGGGGGGAGGGATTGTTAGTAATGGGGTCTAATGAACCCATTGCTAGTAGTATATCCTATCAGGTCGACCTCCACGCGGTTCCCCTTGGAAACCATCATGGTTAATTCTAGTGGAATTCGTCACAATAGGCTAACTGACTTGCTTTCATTCTCGTCTATCATCACTCACTGGTGCCCCGCCAGTGTATACCTATAGCGCAGGTGGGGTTACCATTCCATTTTCACCCATTAAAAAAAAACCTTGGTACCAATTCCAAAGTATATTCTTTTAGATTAAAAATATTTTTCCAAATACATTTATAACTAACAAAGTTATGCAGTAATAAACATAAAAAAACTACATCTGAATTGAGAACCTCCTTTATGAAGTTGGTTGAAAACTACAGAATGTATTTGAATTGAATTTGGTATATGGGTAGTTTATATCCTAACCTAGATTATATATGGTACTTTCTATTTTGACTAATGCAGAAAAAATTGCAGGATACAATTAGTATCATAATAAGATTAAAATAAAAAAAACTGTATATAACAAACAGCTTTAATATAAGTATCAACACTCTTTCTGTGTTTATATTGGGTTTAATATCAGTATAATTTCAGATCCACAAGATCATTGGGTTTGCTCCGTCCCTGCTCCAAGTGGTTATGTTAAATGATGTCCAGCTACCAGTTCGGTTAGCTGGTGTGGTATACCTTAAAAATCTGGTAACATCAGGATGGCAAGACAAAGAAGCAGATGACGATGATCCCACACCTTTCTCCATTCATGAGCAAGACCGTGCCATGATCCGGGATAGTATTGTAGATGCAGTAGTTCAAGCTCCAGACATAATCCGAGTACAGTTATGTGTGTGTTTGAAAACAATAATCAAACATGATTTCCCAACACGGTGGACACAAATAGTAGACAAAATCCATATTTATCTCCAAAACCCGGAGCCTAACAGTTGGATGGGATCTTTACTGTGTTTGTACCAGCTTATAAAAAATTATGAGTATTACCTAGCTGAGAAGAGGGTGCCACTGATGGAGGCTATGAACTTGTTATTGCCAATGATGTACAACCTGATTGTGAATCTCCAAGCTGATCAATCACCAGAATCTGTCCTAATTCAAAAGCAAATTCTCAAATGCTTTTATGCTCTTATAAAGGTAAGATCATTTTAATTATACAAATAATTATTAGTTTAATGGATTTCTTCATATGAAATAAATAAATCCACTGAACTGGCTCCCTCAGGTGTGAGCGATGCCATGATATTAAAAATGTATTTATTGGAACCATAAAAAAAAATGCAGGGTAGTGTACGATAACAGCCACATTAGTTAAAAATAACTTTGTGTATTGATATATTTATATTTGGATAATACTATTCTTCTTCATTATAGATATTCACTTGGTTTGCAGTAATATTTTCATCTGAAAACGAATGAAAAAAACAGTATGACAACTTCACTCAGTTGATTTGCATTTTTGCTGGTTACATGATATCTCCATCAATTTCTATTAATGTTTTAATTGATAAATTTTTCATTGATCCTTTGAAAAAAATTTAATCTGTTTTCTTGGTGCAAATAAATCTTAACTTGTCAAATCTAAAATATTATAATTGTCCTATTTATTTTTTTCTAGATTATATGTAATATTATAATGTTTGTTTGCAGTACATATTACCCTTGGATCTAATAACAAAAGAAATATTCACCAAATGGATGGAGGTGCTAAGAACTGTGATGGAGCAGCCGGTACCTGACAGTACTCTACAAGTGGATGAAGACGTTCGCATGGAGCTACCTTGGTGGAAATGTAAGAAGTGGGCTGTACACACACTTTATAGGTTATTTGAAAGGTAAGTTTACTTATCTTATTATTATAGTAGTATACTTATTATATTATAGTAGTATAATTATTGAAATCCCATTAATATTCTGTTTCTGAACAATTCTGAATTAGTCTACTGTTACCTTAATCTATTATTTATACGAGGATATTACCTTTAGGTGTCTAGAGTTTTTAGGCTGCTTTATTTATATTAGGTGTTGAAATTAATTCATAGCGTTTTACGAGAGATGGCATAGGTAGGACAGTATTTTGTTGTTACCGTAAGTAACGTATACATCTTGTAATAGCTATCATTACACGTTATTTGCTGTGCATAACCTCTCTTTAAATCATAATTAACAGTACTTTATAATTTATTAAACATGTCAACATTTGTGCGGAATGAAGTGTTTTGCAGGGTATTTTATTTCATTATTATATTTTAACTCATGTAATACCTTAATTTAACCTATGATCCACAGTAAAGTCTTTGTATTTGTATTTGTATTTATATTATGAATAAAAGTTCTGCTGGAATTTATCGTATCTTAGTGGAAGTGTATAATGAACATGCTCTAGTTAAGCAAACATGTTGGTAGTGGTCTGCACATTTTAAAGCTGGTGATTTCGAGTTAGAAGACAAAGAGTGACCTGGCCAGCGCAAAAAAATTTAATTTAAAGAGTTGAAGGTATTGCATACATAGCATTGTCTACATTATTGGAAGTTGACTTATCAACGGTAGGAAAACATCTCAAAATGTTACATATAATCCAGAAGGAGATACATTGGGTCCCATATGAATTGAAAACAAGGGACATTGAGAGCAGTCTTTTGACATCGAATTGTTACTAGTAATGAAAAATGAGTTCATTACAACAACTTGAAGCACAGAAAGTCATGGGTTAAGTCTGTCCAATCATCAACATCAGTGGCGAAACAAAATATCCATAAGTCTACGCTCCTGCTGTATATTTGGTGAAATCAGAGAGGTGTGATTTACTATAAATTGCTGAAACCGAACGAAACCATAACTGGGAATCGCTAGTGTCTGCAATTGATGCGATTGAATCTTGCCATGAAAGAAAAGCGGCCGGAAGACACGACAGAGTTATTTTGCTGCACAACAATGCTCGTGCGCACGTCGCAAAACCGGTGTAAACGTACCTAAAACACTTAAAGTCCTATCTCACCCGTCGTATTCTCCAGATATCACTCCTTCAGATTACCATTTGTTTCATTCAATGGCTCAGTCTGTCTGAGCAGAAGTTTATTTCTTACGAAGAAAAATAGGTCAATTCATGGATTGCATCAAAAGACGAGGCGTTCTTCCGACACGGTATTCGTACCCTGTCTGAAAGATGGTCAAAAATATATAGTAATAGAAAGCGATGGGCAATACTTCTATTAGTGTGTGTGTGTGTGTTTTTTTTTTATTTTCCATTAATTATAAATTTATTATTTCATAAAAAAATGGCTACGATTTAATTACAACACCTACATTAAGTCCTCGCATGTAGTTTAGTGGATGATGGTTTTACGTATACAAATGATAATCATTTTTAAAATGAATCATCATTGTGTCTGTCAATATTTGAAACAAACATGAATTTGATAATTTAGAGGTTTTGGCCGAGTCTCGAAATCTGTGACCACTATTATAACTTAACGGACGGGCCCTGTAGATTTACGTTATTCATTCAACATATCACACGCACGCCCAAAGTGTGGAGTAGAGATGCGGGAGTCCTGTTCTTCAAAAAGGGTGACAGTACCCTATTTTTTTTTATTGGATGAAAATGGTAAGAGTTGTAACCCCGCCTGCGCTAATGGGATACGCTGGCGGGGCACCAGTGAAGGGTGATCGATGAGGATGAAAACAGGCCAGTTAGCCCATCATGATGAATTCATCAGGAATTAACCATGATAGTTTCCAAGGGGAACCGCGAGGAGGTCGACCTGATTGGATATATTGCTAGCAATGGGATTCTTAGTCCCTATTACTAACAATCTCTTTTCCCCCCGACAGTACCCTATTGTACCTATATACCTTATAGAACTATACACCGATATCCTTTCTGAATCACTATCGTCTACGTACCATTTTCGATGGTCCTGACCAATCGTCTTATGCGCAAAGTCGACGACTTCCAGCCAGAACAAACTTGCTTTCGGAAGAGCTTTAGCACCATAGACCACATACATACGTTACAGCAGATTATACAGAAGACCGAAGAGTATAATCTGTCACTATGTCTGTTATTTGTGGACTATGAGAAAGCCTTTAATTCGGTTGAGACATGGGCGGTACTACAGTCCTTCTTGTGGTGCCTTCAAGATTGATTATAGATATCTCGAAGTATTGAGGTGTATCTACAGTAAGTCACGATGTCTATCCGAGTACAAAACCAGGGTGCGAAACCCGTCACAGTGCAGAAAGCTGTAAGACAAGGTGACGTCAGATTCACGAAACTCTTTGTGCAGCTGGCATTAAAAGATGTTTTCAAACTCTTGTACTGAAAAAGATATGGTATAACATTAATAGCGAATACCTTACTCACCTTTGATTTGCCGTTGAGTTAGTAATCATGGCAGATCCTTGGAGGATTTTAATACTATGCTTAATGACTTCAATAGTGCTTTTCTGCAGATAAGTTTTAAGATGAACATGGACAATACTAAACTCATGTCTAACTTTCGTGTCACATCTATACCGGTTACGATTGAGAACACTACGGTCGAGGTAGTCGACGAGTATGTATGAGGGAGACTTTGTACAAAAGTCGATTGCTTGGGTACCTCTGTCCCATTCGTATTTCAACCGTGAAGCAGTTGTGTTTGTATAGCTGTGTTTCGATTTGAAGGGTCGGATATAGCGTGAATTTACAGGGTACAGAGGAATAACATCTGAGTCCTCAGGAATGGCAACGCATGGGGGGTATCATGGGCGAAACAGTATACTCTGTTATGTCCATGGTACTGCTCATGACTATAGGTGACGGTTACCACTTTTCATCAGGTGGGCCGTCAGCTTGTTTGTCATTCTAAGTTGTATGAAAAAAATGTATACCTGGGACAACTTGTTCAAATACGTAAGTCCAACTTAGACCGAAAGGTCAACCGACGAATCCAACTCTGGACAGCGTTCGAAAAACTACGCCTCTTACTCTCGCCTCGTACTCTTCTTTAAAACATAAATATAGCCTCATAAAAATATTTTTATACAGCTACTAAAAAAAAAAAAAGAGTGCACCTATTGTTTTTAACATTCAGGTATGCATGTTTAAGCATGGGACGTGAGTTCCAGACGGTCAACAAATGTACTTAACACACGTTTTGTTGAATAAGCATTCTCATAAATTCATACGTGGTGTTAGTTTTATAACATGTGATAACATACGACATGTTATTACAATGTTACTTACACAGATATTAATATGCCGTGGTATAGTATATTTTGAAGTTTGAAATAGATTTGAGGTGCAAGAATACGCTGAAATTTTGTAATTTCACATTAATAAATAGTTATTTTAGTATGGCAGTGAATTTATTAGTTAATATTTCTCTCGTTGTCTCATCACTGGGGCTCGAGACCACTTGAGAATGTCACTCCCGTCATCATTGCTCTCATTGTATTCGTTATTAAGATAGCTTACATATACTGTCAAAATTAATAAAACGGTTAAATAACAAACAATCATGACAGTCATGCGTTGCTCACTGGAAACGCTCAACACTTCCTTACAATGTAAGTTATTTAGAAAGCTCTGTTTGTGGAGCCTGTAATTAAAATTAGTCAGTAGCCACCTCTTAGAAAATTTGTGCTACTTATTTTGTTTGTCCGCTATTACATACGCCTGAAATTGAGAAGTAGGAAAACCAATGAAAGCAGCACTTTTAGATTGATTGAAAACATAATAGATCATTAGGAATACAACTGTGAAAACAGCACCCAAATTTGGTGTTTTTGCGTGTATTCGGTACACACATACAGACAGACACAATGTCTAATAATTTTGCGTTTATTGGTTATTAAATCCTTCATATTAACTTTCCTTAAATATCTCCCATTTACAGACATCATGTAATTACAATTTTATTACTAAAACTATCTAGCTGACCCTACAAACGTTATTTTGCCTTCTACCTTTTACCAGATCCATTTTTTCTAACCGAAATAAAAATATCCCTATTATTCAAATAGGAGCAAACAATACACATTTACAAAATATCATACAAATCAGTTGAGCGGTTTTGGAGATTAGCATAAAGGAACGTCATGACACGGGATCTGTATATAAATACTGTATATAGTTTAAATAATATGAATATGAATTGAATGTATTATATAGGAATATTAGTCGTGAGCTATAAAGCAGCTTCCAAAAGATACCTGCAGTCAGAAAAAAAAATAATCAAAATTTCTGAATTGTTTTGCTCTATTATTTTTTCAATCTATATTATAAGGTTTACTGCCGTATTGGTACCTCATGAATTTTGGGACGATTGATTGATTGCTGCTTTTTATGTGATTTGAAATTGGAACATAAACTACGAATTAAAATATATTTGTAAACACACGATCCCTCTTTCTAAATTCAAATATTACAATGCGCAATAAAATATACGTTATCGTAACGATATTTGGGTTGCATTTTTTAAATTTATTTTGTTTTAAAGAGTATTTTTGTGTACTGGTACAGAATCAGAGAATGCCAAGAGGTCGACCGTAGATTACCGATCGACCGCGTATGCGATATAAATGGTCTGATAAAGGCGAGTTGATATAAAAAGAACGAAAAATTAATATTTTAAATTTTACTATAACTGCATGCGGCGTGTTTGTCAATTCGTGCAACTGATGTGCATATTTTGTATTTACAATTTTTACTTTAAAATCATCATCATATTAGCTGTTATCTGTCTACTGTTAAATAGGCCTCCCCCACAGTTGGGGGGGGGGGGGGGGGCTTTTGTCAATAGTTGCCACGCTTAGTAGCAGGATTGACAATCGCAGTTAGGTTTCGATGTTTTGAGAGGGACTCTGCTGCCCATTTTCGATCCTTAAGTTTCCTTAGTCGCCTCTTACGACACCCACGGGAAAAGAGGGGGTGGCAAATTCTATGCCGGGATATACGTTATACACCGTTATATACGATATACACCGGATATACGTTGATATAATTGCAGTATAGTTTGAGATACTTACTAATATTTGTGACGACCATGGCCACTTCACCTTTCGATGGTTGCCGGTTCAATCTTAGAGCAATATAAATAAAAGTATTCATGAGTATCCATATTATATGTAGCTATGTTAAAAATGTATTTGAGCATTTATATCAGTGGTCTAGTACCAACTGCTTAGAATTTTTTATTTATCTTATAAAAAAGAAAATCTTATTCCATAGTTTTTTTTGTATATAGGTAGATATAAAAATGTCTATGGACTACAATGATTCAATAATTTACACTTCAACTCCAATCCGATCTACTTATGTATCAAGATTATGTAAGCTTTATTTGTTTTTTTTTGTGACAGATACGGAAGTCCGATGAACGCTCGCGAAGAATACGGCCAGTTTGCTGACTGGTATTTGACCACATTCACGGGCGGCATACTCGATGCGCTTTTCAGGATACTCGACCAATATAGGAATAAAATCTACGTGTCACCCAGGGTTCTTCAACAAACCATTAGCTACATTGATCAGTGGTGAGTTCTTACGCTCTTTTACATTAAACCAATTGTTAATCGCCGTTTACAAATAAGGTCATTGTCCACATAGATATAGTACTTAGAAGATACTTACAGACTGCATTGCATGCAATCACACATGCGGGACCAAAATACAATTACACTAGTGTGAGTGTACTTAGGTTCCTCCAACAGACCATTATTTATATTGGTCAATGGTGAGTCAATAAGCCGCGTTCACATTAAATCTAATAGTCAATCGTCGATTACAAGTAGGGTCATTGGCCGCATAGATGTAGCATAAGATTCTTACAGACTTGCAATGCAATGACAGATGCGAGATCGAAATACTAAAGGATACAGAATTTGACTAACAGTGTGTTTCAGTTTGTAGGGTAGGATATGGCAGTGAATTTACAGGGTACAGAGGAATAACACCTGAGTCCTTAGGAATGGTAACGCCTGGAGGGGGGTATCAAGGACGAAACAGTATAGTCTGTTATGTCCATGGTAGTGCTCACGTCTATAATCGACGGTTTAGACTATCCAGCAGGTGGACCGTCAGCTTGTTTACAATTCTAAGTTGCATAAATAAACTGATTTTACAAGAAATTAAAGTTCAAAAATAAAAATTATTATAATTTGTATTTGATTTATTTTACTAGGTCAGACCTTTTACTATGTTACTTTCACATAAATCTTACTATTACGCTATGTTACGCTATTTTTTTTTTAATTTACCTATCTTTATTTAGTCTAAGATCTGTTAATGTAATGTTAAAGTAGTCAATTTCAATTAGTTTCTATAAAAATTCTGATTATCTTTAATCGGGCATTAGTAGATGTTGTCATGTATTAATAACTTTATTTTTATAATTATATAATGTAAGGATTCCTTTGTGTGTGTGTGTGTGTGTGTGTGTGTGTGTGTGTGTGTGTGTGTGAGTGAAATTTCTGCTTATGGAAGCATAATGGCCTAGTTCGTAGAATTGATAACGTACGAGACTTCAGAAATATAAAGTATATCCTGTCATATTCATGTCGAAAGGCGATGGTTAGCACTTTTTGACAGACGAACAGTCGGCTTATTTGTAATTGCAAATGGAAAGCAATTTTTTGTTCATGTGTTATGGAATGTTACAGCGTATGAAATCAACAGGAATGAAAATTAACTTTATTGTGAATTTTCTTAAATTATTTCGTCTCAATCCGATAGTTTCACAGATTAATCATTCCAGTTAAGACGCTGCGACAAATGCATATAACGAATTAGACCAATTTATGAAATTATACTAATCATTACGTATGAAATGAGATACAGCAATCATTTTATTACGTACTGGGTCCCGATAACCGCTAACCATCCGGTAGACCGTATGCCTGATTGTAATGCGATAATAGTATGTTTCAATAGATCTTGAGATACCAAGTGAAAACCAAGCGCTTTTTCAACCAAATAACACTAAATGAAATCAGTACCAAATTGAAACAAAATCATTTCGATTTTTCTTACTTTAAAAATTTAATTAATCGATTTTTTATATGTACTGCAATTTGACATCAACAAACTAGCTATAATGGGGTCAATAATTTTTCATTTATTAACATTTTAATTATTTAATTTGTTCACTGTGATGTTCGCCAACCATCTGGCGGACCATATAGCGTATGTACATACATACATACATATCTGTCACGCCTGTCTCCCATTAGGGTAGGCAGAAACAATGGAACGCCAAATGCTTCGATTCAAACAAACCTCTTTCCCTTCTTCCGCATTCATCAATCTATAGCGTATGTCTGATTACGAAGTGGTAAATAAATTACATAAATATATATATTGTACGCAGTGTTGGCCACAGTCATTCCTGGAAACTTCTGAAACCGCACATGTTCGCTATCATCCAGGACGTTCTGTTCCCTCTCATGTCATATTCAGATGCTGATGAGGACCTATGGAACACGGATCCGCACGAGTATATTCGAATCAAGTTTGGTAAGTGTTATGTTTATGATTAATGAAGGAATGAGTGGTTGATTTATGTAGTTAATGATTTAAATTTGTCGTAAGAGGCTACTAAGGGAACTTAATAGTCGAGGGATGGGCAGCAGTGTCCTTCTTAAAACATCACCAAAGGATAACTGCGATTGCTGACTCGCTTGCCAAGCATTGCATTTTTCGTTGCGTTGCTTTATGGAAGAGGCCTATATTCAGCAGTGCTATGTTTCGTTAAAGCCTGATACGAACATTGTATTTAGTTTTATGTATTTTTTTTTTTTTTTATTATTTATGTTATCTCGTTTTTTTTTTTTTTGTATATGTATGTTGTAATTTGTGTGCTGTAAGTAAATAATGAAAATAAATTATCTATCTATCTATATCATTTTTACCGTAACCTATTCACTGCTGAACATAAGCCATCCCCATAAGGAATTTTGCCAGTACTTGTCATGCTAGGCAGGTGCATTTTTTTCCTTTTTTTTTTTTTACTAATGCAGGTCTATAAACTAATTTGATAGAGATTTTCACAATTCAAGCTTCTAAGTAGATAGAGAATAGATACACACTAATACTTAAATAATGAATAATAATAATAAGAAAATACGTACTTATCGTGATACACTATTTCGAAAGTGAAAAAAGTGTTGTCCTCCTCTCTCCTACTTGCTGTGCCCAACAGGGTCCATAATTGAAACCTTATGTACTAATTATATTATGGAATGCAATAATAAATAAATAAAAAATAAATAGATATTATATGCTGTTTTCAAATTCTGTAATTATTTAATGCCGCTATGTAACTCAGATCAGTACATGGATATGTAAACTCGTAAAATTGTGTCATTGCTAATGACCAACTAGATTATCTATGAGACGAGTTTTTCCTCAATTTTTGGGTGGAGGCTAATAAGCTGTTATCGGCCGATTCTATTATAACTATTAATGATTATTGAATCACCTTGGCAGAGTAAGACGAATGAATCGTGATTACCTGCTCGCTTCGTTATCAAATGTTTGACTTCGCCCTTTAAGAAATGTTTAAAGACATAGCTTATTCTTAGTAATTTGATGCAAATTTAGATACAAACACATACACTAAACTAAGAATGTATCCATGTGATAGACTATATTTGCATAGGTCATAGGTACATAGGACAGAAATTTCGTGAACCAAATATTCAAAAGCGACGAAAATGTTTTAATCTCATGTCTACTAACTGTTCCATACGCTGTGTCAGTATGGAAATATCAAAGTGTTTATTTTTCCCTTTTTGTGTTTTGTTTTTGTTGATTATTGACTTATGTTCCTTTGAAAAATATATTCAGCTACATTGATAGAACACCCCCTTAAAACTAGGTACGAGTATAAAATATGTCTGATGTTAAATTCAAATATGCTCTACGTAACATGGGCAGGCCGAGCGCTACCACTACCATGATTCAGTGCCTGACTTTACTATTCGAGTAATATTACAGATATTTACTTTTATCTATTTATCTTTTAGATATATTCGAAGATTTTGTATCACCTGTAACCGCTGCACAGACATTGCTAATAACATGTTGTAAAAAGAGAAAGGACATGTTAGAACGCACTATGCATTTGTGTATGCAAGTCTTAAGAATACAAGCGGAGTACGGGCCTAAGCAGCGTGATGGGGCTCTCCACATGGTTGGAACGCTTAATGATATTTTAATAAAAAAGAAACACTACAAAGAAGAAATAGACTCCCTTCTCAGCCAGTACGTTTTCCCCGAGTTCAATAGTAATCTTGGATACATGCGAGCGAGAGCATGTTGGATTCTGCAATGCTTCGCTTGCATCAGATTTAAAACCGAACCACTACTTATCGAAGCAGTACGGTTAATTATTAACGCTCTGTTAAATGACACCGAATTGCCTGTCAAAGTGGAAGCGGCGATAGCATTGCAGATGCTTTTGACATCTCAGGACAAAGTGCATCTATACCTTGAAATGCAGGTGACTCAAGTCACCACCGAGCTGCTGAAGGTTATACGGGAAACTGAGAATGACAACATAGCTAACGTGTTACAGAAGATAGTCCCTCTCTATACTAAACAGCTGATGCCGATGGCTTTTGAGATTACCGACCATTTGGCCACTACCTTTAGTAAAGTAATAGAGACAGACTCGGGGACTGATGAGAAGGCGATTACTGCTATGGGTCTCCTTAACACCATGGAGACCGTACTCAATGTTATGAGTGACAATCCTGCCATTATGGCGCAGCTTGAGAAGACAGTGTTAAGGGTCGTCGGCCATATATTACATCATAATATTATTGGTGAGTATATATTTACATACTTTTACTTTTAACTTAGTAGTTTTATAGGATTAGCTGTTTAATATTTACTGACAATTTATATATTAGCTTTATTAGGTTAGGTTTCATCGAAATTGCAATTACGTTAAACTGAATATTCAGAATCGAGCGTAATCTATCGGTAAATTGTTTAAGATTAGATGTTTCTATGTGGAAATATGCTCAGGTAATGTTACTTGTAGTTCCGCTCGCGCTCTCGCCTCCCGACTTCTGTTTCACTAGGATATGCTTACTGACCGATATAAAAAGTGGCCTATAATATACTAAATTGCATAGTGATCGGTTAAGTCCTTAAGGTGCTTTAAAGTAATAAACAAACTCACTTTCCCATTTATAATATAAGCAAGGACGATGACATGTTATGCTATTTGATAGTCAATAACCATTCTTTCTTTTCAGAATACTATGAAGAAGCAATGACCCTGCTCTGTGATCTCACTACAAAAAGTATATCAGAAGACATGTGGAAGGTCCTGGAACTGCTGTATCAGGTTTTCGAAAAGGAGGGCTTTGACTACTTCACTGATATGATGCCAGTTCTTCATAATTATATAACGGTTGACACAAACGCTTTTTTGTCCAACGAGAACCATATAATCGCCATGTTTAATATGGCCAAAGCGGTAAGTTATTATTCATATTTTATTCTTACTCTTTGTTCAAGCCCTTTTTTTTGTTTTTATAATATGTGACACAGATATTGATTGTCAATATAATATGTGGAAAATTCTAGATGGTTATACTTCAAACGGGAGCGTTTTGTACTATTTGTAGATAGTTAATTTAACAATTCCAAAGACATTTCTTATATAGATAAGATAAATCTTACGGACTATTGAACTCCAGATTCCACTTTGCAACTGAGAATAGAGAAACATGCTAGTCGTTCATTTGATGCTAAATGGTAATTATCACATATAGACATGAATATCACAGGGCACTGTGCTCCCCATGGTACCCCACATGAGTTGCTGTTCCTGAGGACCTGTACTTGTACATTATAATTACACTGCCATATGTTACCTTTCAAATCGAAATACAGTCACACAAGCACAGCCACTTTCCAATTAAAGTGCGACTCAAAATGGGGCTCTACAGAATTTCACCTTCTGTTTATAAGTTTTAAAGTCCTATATTCAGTGTAATTTGTGTTTAGGTTTTCTGTATTGATTTAACATTAAATATTTATTGATTATCTATAAGGTAACAAATAAATAAGACGATACAACTTAATTTCTAATGATTGGTATGGCACGAATTTCTTCAATTTATCTGTTGTGCCTTACAATTAATACTTAATATGCATGTTTTAGTGATGTAAATATCTGTAATCTAATGTAAGGTTCAAATTGTGCAAATTACCCTTGTATTTCTGACGTTAATACTTTAGCAAACTAACTTGTTGCTTATTCTATTGTCGCAAAGTCTAAAATGATCTGTCAATGTTTTCATTACTCTCCTCACGGACGCAGTGTTTGATCAATAGGTTATATAAAGGCGTGATCAATTCTAATGCAAGCTGTGCCTTGGTACAGATTTGTATATCCGACAGAGCAATGAAAGCGAATTATATTATTCTTATAGCATCTAATATATATATATATATATATATATATATATATATATATATATATATATATATACACATTGTAGTATGTTAGATTAGGTTAGCTATTATAAGAGGCCTAAAATGTCCCAAAACGAATATTATAAAACCTATCAATATTAATAGACCTTATAAATTATTATTAATGAAGAAATTATAGGTGAGGTCCTCATAAGACCCCAATAAATGTGAAAACAATATTTTTTTGGCAAATTTGTCTGTCTAATTGTGTCTATATGTTTGTTCCGGCATCACACAAAAACTACTGCACCAAATTGGATTCGATTTACACAGAAAAATGTTCAGTTTCACTGGTTCCGTTTAAAAGGATTTGTTTTCACCATATTACATAGTTGCTAAGATTTATTACCTAAAAATTTGCTATGCGAAATGCTGCACTATTGTTATATGTATAATATCGAATTTAATATTGCAAAACCGAATTGCAGATTGGTGACCCATAACCTAATTTTTGCTTTTACGACCTCCTTAATTTTTTTTTAAGATTTTTTTTATGGCAATTCCTGATGGAATGTGGTAACCATCGTCTATAGACATGAGCCGTACCATGGACATAACAGAGTATATTGTTTCGCCCACGAAACCCCCCATGCGTTGCTATTCCTGAGGACTCAGATGTTATTCCTCTGTACCCTGTAAATTCACGCCATATCCCACCTTTCAAACCGAAACACAGCCATGCAAACACAACTGCTTCACGGTAGAAACACGAATGGGATAGAGGTACCCAAGCAATCGACTTTTGTACAAAGTCTCCCTCTTACTTAGAATAGCAAACAAGCTAACAGCCCACCTTATGGAAAATGATAACCGGCACCTATAGACATGACCAGTACCATGAACATCACTGCGATGCCCATAATAGCTATACGCGCTGCCATCCTCGGGACAGTATATGCAGTGTAGTCTCGGTATAGAATGGGCCACCCCTTCCATTCCTGTGGGTGTTGTAAGAGGCGACTAAGGGGACCTAATATTCGAAGGATGGGCAGCAGCATCCCTCTTTAAATATCAACGGAAGCCTAACTGTGGTTGCCAATCCGCCTACCAAGCGTGGCAACTACTCACAAAACCTCCCTTATGGAGGAGGCCTATGTTCAGCAGTGGACAGTTAAAGGCTGATATGATGATGATGATACTGTTATGCCTGTTATCTGTGATTTAATTGCCATATCCATACCTTTTAAACCGAAACACAGCCGTGCCAACACAATTGCTTCACGGCAGAAACACGAATGGGAACAGAGGTACTTAAGCAGACAGCCAACCTTTGTACAAAGTCTTCTGCGGGCAAAGCTATAGAAAGCTACATTATCATTGAGTAATATTAATAAGTATACTTTTTTTTTATACAATTTAGAATGGTAAACAAGCTGACGGCCCACCTGATGGAAAGTGGTAACCGTCGTCTATAGATATGAGCAGTATCATGGACTTAACAGAGTATACTGTTTTGCCCCCATTTCTGAGGACTCAGGTGTTATTCCTCTGTACCCAGTAAATTCACGCCATATCCCACCCTTCAAACCGAAACACAGCCATGCAAACAAAACTACTTCACGGTTGAAACACGAATGGGACAGAGGTACCCAAGCAATCGACTTTTGTACAAAGTCTCCCTCTGGTACATATACATCTATTTGACATCCAACAAATAAAGGAACATTCTCCAAGATACATGATGATTAAATATTAAAAAATATAGCGATGTAAAGATAAGCTATAGGTAAATGTTTCCCTGTTAATATATCTAATTACATCTATTGTATGCTATGCGAATTTATGCATATTGCTGCATATGTGTCTGATTTACGTGGAATTAATATGAAAGTAATCATATTTCTTTACTGTAGCAAATTAATACTATTGTTACCTGTAAGTACCTGTAAGTAAAGTAACTAAATACGCAAAAATATGATAATTATAAATTTTATTCACACGCGAATATTTCATAATAATATTATAATTTTTATTCACTTTTTTTGTCATGCCTTGAAATATTTTTCTACCAAATTATAATATTTAAAAAGGTTTGCTTTAACTTATGGCAATATGAAATATTTATAGTTTTGTTTGTTAGTAACATAGTTTATAGGTTGTTTTACTAAAAATCTGTTTCGTTCGAAATAAAAACTATTATTAATATTTTTTGTTTTTATACAACTTAGAATGGCAAACAAGCTGACGGCCCACCTGATGGAAAGTGGTAACCGTCGCCTATAGACATGAGCGGTATCATGGACATAACAGAGTATACTGTTTCACCCATGATACCCCCCATGCGTTGTCATTCCTGAGGACTCAGATATTATTCTTCTGTACCCTGTAAATTCACGCCATATCCCACCCTTCAAATCGAAACACAGCCATGCAAACACAACTGCTTCACGGTAGAAACACGAATGGGACAAAGGTACCAAAGCAATCGACTTTTGTACAAAGTCTCCCTCTGGTAATTTTATATTACTATTTTACCGTACAGTCTCAGCAGAGAATAAGCCACCCCTTTCTTTCTCGCGGGTTTTGTAAAAAGTAACTAAGGGAATTTAATGGTCGAGAGACAAACTGCAACGTCTTTCTTAAAACATCATCAAAGCCTAACTCAAGTTGCCAGTTCTCTTGCCAAGTGTGGCTATTACTGGCAGAACACCTCAATAGGGAAGACCGATGTTCAGCAGTGGACAGTTAATAGCTGATATGATGATGATGATGATGATTAATATTTTTGATAAAAATTGCCCTTAGCTTATTTTTTTTTAAATGTAGTAACTGTTGATTAGTTTATTTATCTTAAATTGTGGCACAGCGAATATGGCTTAATAAAAACAGTAAAGTATAACAGAAATAATATCTATATAACTTAATTTTTAGCATAAATAATGCTTCTTTTTTTAATTATTAATTAAATTGTTTGATTTTTGTATGTCATGTGCACAATTTTTTTAAAACCTTTTAAGTTTTTTATCTTTTCTACTATAGAATTTTATAGTTGACAGAATGTGTCCATTGGTGCAGGTATTGAATTCTGACGCTGAAGATGAATCGGAGATTATTGCAGCAAAGTTGTTGGAAGTAATGGTTTTACAGTGCGCTGGAAAGATCGACAATTGCCTGCCCTCGTTTGTAGAACTTGTACTAAACAGACTTACTAGGAAGGTTAAAACCTCGGAACTCAGAACTATGCTACTGCAGGTGAATATAACTGGTTCTCTTTATCTAACTATTATAATAAAATTGTAACTTTATGGGTGTGCAAGAGAGATATTGAAGAAAAATGTATATAAAGGCGCTAATAAAAGTATTGAACTTAAAACCATATTTTATGGAATTTTTTTCTGTCTATCTGTCTGTATGTTTGTTTCGATATTACACAAAATCTGCCACCTAGTATCTCCAAATATCTAAATATCCACACTACCGATTTTGATGTGGTTGCACTGTCATGCACATATTTTTTTATGGAAAGTTTGTATGTTTTTTGTTTTGTTTCTTTTTTTTTCATACTTTTATCTCTTTTTACTGTGGATGTCTGTATTATGTGTATGTTTGTATTGTTGTGTGCTGTAAGTAATGCAAATAAATTATCTACAATATCCTATTTGCCCGTACAAAGCCGGATGGGTTCTTAGTACTGTTTATGGACTAAGCAAACGTGGACACTTCAAAATGTTATTCTAAAAAGAAAATCATTTTCCAATAATTAGTGTGTTTTATAGAAATATTTTTCATAGCAAGTGATATTTGCTATAAAAAATATTTCTAAGTGATATCTTATGATACAAAAATCATAGAATTCAAAAAATAAATTAATATTTTACAGACCAAAACAAATTCTGCTGATGTCCAATAGCAGTGCATATAAAAAATTACTGAATTAATTTTATCTATCCATTTATTATGTTTCTGTGATAATTTTGATTACCTGTTAATTCTATTTAAACTTCAATTTCTATTTAAACAAACTATATTTAGCAGGCACAAGTGCCATATAAATAATATTACAAATTGTATTTTTATTTAATTAAAACAAGCTGACGGCACTTTTCACCAGGTGTGATGGAAAATGTTAACCATCGTCTATAGATATAAACAGCACCATGGAATACACTATTATGACCATGGTATCCCACATAGGTGCCATTTCTTTATCATTTGTCTTAATATATTTTTACCTATTTCAGGTTCTTATTGCAATTCTCTATTGCAACCCACACCTGTTATTCTCAATATTGAACAAATTGCAAGAATCCGTTCCAAATGCATCCATCGCACAGCATTTCATGAACCAATGGATTCATGACACAGATTGTTTCATGGGGTATGTTTTATTATTTTGTTATATTTATTATTTTGCTGACTTCCTGCAATGCATCACAGGAAGGAAGCAGGTCTGTGGAGTCATGAGATGATGATTTATTATTGCTAACACACCTTTTCACATTTGAGGTTGGCAGAAACCATAGACAGATATTTGTTTCTGATATACCTTCTATCCTGACAACCTCCTTATCTAAAAAAGACCTCTATTTATAAATCATGTCGATTTCAACAATAGATTCTTGTTTTTGGCATATTTTAAGACATATGATTTAATGATACTATAAAAATACTTAATATCATTAGCACTGGCAATCACAAATAGTAGACTGTGTCAAAATGGAGTGACATTTTTTTTCTACAAATATGTTTTTTTCACTTTGTCATTAACCAGATCGAAACAAAGATTTAATAATTAAGTTGTTACCCACAGCTTACCTTACGTGTGTTAGCATATAGTGTACACTATATTTATTATATTACTCTAAGATTTAATTCAATTGTCACCTGTGTATCAAATTTTATTAAATTCCATTGTCATTGAACACCTAACAAACATGTAGACATCAAATATTTTCTTTTCAAATAGTATCTATGTTTACATGATGCACTGCATGCCAAATTGGCAACTGTCCTCCACACCTTTGTTACAACTTACAAAACATAAGACTAGTGTCATTAAATTATTATTGTTGTGTTTGTAGATTGCATGATAGAAAAATATGCGTTTTGGGAATCTGTACACTATTGGAAATGGGCCCGCAGCGGCCGAATCTAGAAGAGATCGTGCCTAAGATTTTACCTTCCTGCCTGGTGCTATTTGATGGACTAAAGCGTGCTTACGAGGCCCGTGCTGAAGCTGACGATGACACATCTTCCGAGGAGGACGAGGGAGATGACGACGAAGGTATAGTAATAATAATACTTATTCCATCACATACACGTATCCTAGCTTCAGCACCAGCGAATTGTACCTCATAACACAATACCTGTTTTGAGGAGCCCGACAACAAAATGTCTAGGGCACAACCCAAGACACCCAGATCCGAGCCAATTTCCGAATATCTGAGAATCGAACCCAGGCTCATCACGCAAACCAATGTGCCTACCGTCGGAGATAGTAAAATTTCTTTTCTATTGTTAATCTTTTGACAGTATGTCTTTGTAATAATTGCTGTTCCCAAATGTAAAAAAAAATTGTAAGGGTGTCCCTGTAAACTGTACTTGCTGACATCATGAGTGACTATAAACATCTATACCCATAGATAGTTTATAATCATTAAAGCCTACTGAAGACTCAATGAAACTTAGAATTAAAAAAAAAATATGTTGCCATAGATTGATTCAAATTTAGTTTTAAAATACTGTGATTTATTACAGTTTCTATTTTATAACTGTTAATTTAGTCCGTAGTTCAATGAACAGGAAAAACAACCATAATAAACATACAGGTTAATATCCAAGCTATGAGCGAAGGGCGATAAAAGGCGAATGTACAAAATTTCCTCTAGCACGTGCTTTACAATATTATTGTAATAAGTAATTAACACACAAATAAATATTTCTTTAATTAATTCTACTTGTCACTTTTTTTTTTTTAATTACAATGAATGCTAATTAGTTTTTTAAGGTTAAATCATAATAAAAACCAATTCCTCGATGGCGGATTACATTATAAAAGTTAATTTTAAACAGACTTCTTTTTTTATTGATAATTGATGAAATAACCGTTTTTGACACAGAAGTGCTCTCGAGCGATGAGGACGACCTCGACGAGATGAACAGTGAATATTTAGAGCATTTGGCACGTATGACTATGAAGAATTCGGTCTCACATGGTGTCAACCTCAATGCCAATATTGAAGACTATGACGAAAGTGATGATGTGAGTACAATATGTTCATTTTTATTTTTTAATAGGGCGAAAATGTAATGGTAACTCTAGTTGCTCTTTGGTATATATTAGTGGAACACCAGTAACTGATTATAGATGAGGATGAAGTCAGGACATTACTGACAATTCCTTTTTCGCACCATGCTCTTTTTGGGCTACTGGACCCCTACTCAATACATACTTATTCATAAAAACGTGAAACATCTAATAAATCTATATTAATTATTAAAATAAAGGTGGCGATTTTACAGTCAGAGATTGCTTGACTGCGGTTCTGGTATTCCAGGTTTTAGTTCCAGCTTAAACCTTTGTATTGATAATATTGTTTTGAAGTCAATGTCTCTAGAAATTACAGGTGTAGCTCTTTCCATCATTAAAATAAAATTACATAAAATGCAATAACAACATTATTGCTTATATTGTAGGATGACGATGGTTATGAACCTGACGAAACTGCTCTAGAGTGTTATACAACTCCATTAGACGAAAAGGATTGCAACATAGACGAGTATGTCAAATTCAAGAATACGTTATCAGGTATTATAATCCTTAGTAATATTATAAATTTGAAAATGAGTTTATTTGTTACCTTATAACATCTTAATAGCTTAATCAATCGCTATAAAAAATAATGGTATGCATATTTTATTTGAGATGGAGAAAGATATAGGCTACTTTTCATCCCAATCAATAAACATATTTCGTACATACCTAAGTTATCAAAAGTGTCAAGGGGTCAAGTACGTTTTAAAGTATCGCCGCAATTGAGGATTATTATTTCCACTTTGGATTCTTTTTAGTGAATTTCAGTATTTGAATAAAAAATTGTCATTAAATTTTGATTAAAAAATAGAAAACTGTCAATCAGGATTCCTATAAAAGTGTGTAATAGCGTTTTTACAAAACCATTACAATTTCTGCATCAAAATTGAAAAAATTCTATCGATATGGGGCAACGACGTCATTCAACATGAGAAGAGTTGAGAACCGTCAGAATGGTGCAAGCTGTTTCCAGGCAACTGTGGGTGTCGCACTTGGTACTTCACAAAGCATCATAAGCCACCTCTGAATACGCTCTCGTATCTTAAACTGTGTAGTTGAACGACAATGAGGACGACCTCGCATCACCCAAAATACAGCTCGACGGAATCGTAACATGGTCACCATGATGTTAACTACGAAGCTCCACAGCTCTTCAGACTTGCTAATAAGCAACCAAACCATTTACCTGAAGGGGCTCTGCGTTCCCGAAGACCACTGAGATTTCCACCTATATAGCAGTCTGCAATCGTAGGCCTCGTTTATAATGGGCTCGCGAACATAGAAATTAGGAAGAAGAGACTGAAACTGTGTTTGATTTCCAGATAGAATTAATTTCAGTATAAGGACGAATACAGAACGTACTCGAGTTTGGAAAATCTCTGGACGTTTGAAATTTTATCAAGAAGTTCATTCGTATGAAAGGGAAACAATAATGGTTTGAGCCGGTAGAAGAACTAATCGCATTTACTTCAGGTTGAGGTTGCCCCTTCAGTGCTCAGATTTATGCGGGGAGGATGGTTTCAGACATTCTTTTGCAATGCCGGTTGGGTGTTTCGTTTCGACTAATGACAATGCATGTCCACATACAGCTAGAGTCGAAACACACTCTCCTGCCGATATCAAATTTCTGCCATGGCCTGCTCAATCGCCAGACTTCAACCCAATTGAGCAAATATTGGATATGCTCCAAACAAGAGCTCTGCCGAGTATGGATACCGTGCATACCTCACTTTTTAATTAGTTAGAGAAGTACTCAAAGTGATTTTGATGAACTGATTTTAAGTACACCAAATGGTTGTGATTGTGTAATTTGAGTCAATAGTGGAAACAATTTTTTTTTTTTTTACATTTTAAATATCCTCATTTTTTCTTTTTATTGCTATTTAATTGACAACATTAGCTTAAGTTAATTTCTCATAATTTGCAAAAATTGCAGTTTTTCTTAATTTGTACAAAATATAGGGATAAGTTGGTAAAGACATAGGAATTAAAATAAGAAGTCAGTCTGGGAGATTAGATTTAATAATTATTAATTGGCCAATTTTTTTATACTAAAAAATATACTTAATTAATTCCTAGACACTTGTGTGAACTACTTACATGGAATTACGATGAATATTAATTCAAAATTGTCTAATTACTATTTACTATATCTAATCTTCCAGACTGGCGTTTTATTTTACTTTAATAACAATTAATATAAGTAATGATAAAACAAATTAAAAAGTTAAACTTATTCCACAGATGTGCTATAAATTTTTGGAAATTTCTCTTTGGCTTGTGCAGTAATATTACATATAAATTTGGATAAGTCAATAAAAACCTATCTTTACACCTATTTTTACAATTAATATTTTAATTTGATAATTTCACGAAATTAATATTTTATGGACCATTATTAAATACATAAATAATTAAATTTATATTATAATAATTTTGTGAATTCTATTATGTGAATATAAATTTAGTGAATGGCGCCTCAGATTGAACGTACATAAAATCATTAGTAACAATAAATATTATCTCACAGCCCTATCGACGAATGAGCCAGCTCTGTACCACGCGCTTACGAGTGTGCTGAATGAAGAGCAACAAAAGCAACTGAAGGCCGTGTTTGTGCTCGCGGATCAGCGTAAAGCGCAGCAGGACAGCAAACGCATCGAGCAAAGCGGTGGTATGTAGTAACTTTAATGATATCCTCTCTTTTCCTTTTCTGTCATTCTTTTTTTTTTTAATTCGTTATATCGATATTATTAAAAGTTTTTGTACTTTTAATAAACCTGAGTATGATGTCTTGAAACCATTCATGTGTATAAATAAAAAAAATCAATTTCGCAATCATATAACATTGCCGTGTCCCAGCGTAGAATAGGCCACCCCTTCCTTTCCTGTGGGTGTCGTAAGAGGCGACTAAAGGAGGCCGAGGCATGGGCAGCAGCATCCCTTTTAAAATCTCCAAAGTCTACTTGCAGTGGCCAATCCACCTGCCAAGCGTGGCAACTACTCACAAAACTCCTCAAGGGGCAGGCTTATGTTCAGCAATTGAAAGTTAATAGCTGATATATGATGATGATGGTACAACATACGGCTGTATCCCATGGGATAGACATTATATAGATTTCTGTAGCTCATTCAATAATTATTATAGTATTTTGTCCCCTTTCAATGTATATTTTTTAAATAGTGACAGTACACACTGTTAAAATATTACCCGAGGGAGACTGTACAATTCGATTGCTTGGGTACCTCTGTCCCATTCGTGTTTCAACCGTGAAGCAGTTGTGTTTGCATGGCTGTGTTTCGGTTTGAAAGGTGGGATATGGCGTGAATTTACTGGGTACAAAGGAATAACACCTAAGTCCTCAGGAATGGCTACGCATGGGGGTATCATGGGCGAAACAGTATACTCTGTTATGCTCATGTCTATAGGCGACGGTTACCACTTTCCATCAGATAAGCCGTCAGCTTGTTTGCCATTCTAAGTAGTATAAAAAAACCTTTTGGAGAATTTACATTTTTATACGAATGCATACATTCATTACGAATTGTTGAGCTCAATTTCGTGTTATTGTTCGTACTGAAATCGGCCCAGTAAATGGTGCTTAACATTTCGTTCATAATAAATCCTACTATAATAGTTCAGAAGAACGATATTTTAAGATTTTTAATAATTTTAAACAGTATTTACTATGTAAATTTAACATCAAATTTCTGTTTCGTTCGTGTCCGAAATTTCGGAAAATGTTTTATGGTAGGCCCTCTGTGTATTCTTATCGGGATACATTCATCCTATCTCTAAAGTAAGGGCAAACAATACACATTTACACAATTCTATTATTATCGGTTTAGCAGTTTCAGAGAACATCATATCATACACGAACATCGTGACATGGGATTGTTGTATATTAAGTTATAACTTGCAATATCATAATCAGCTATCAATTGTGAACTGCTGAACATAGGCTATCTTTTGAGGGGCTTTACTAGTAATTGCTACGCTTGGCAACCTCAGTTAGGCTTTGGTAGCGTTTTAAGAGGGATGTTACTGCCCATCCTTCGACCTTTACATACCCTTAGTTGCCTCTTACGACACCCATAAGAAAGGATGGGGTGGCCTATTCTATGTAGGAACCACACAGCCAATATTAAACAATAAATCAATGTCGTCAAATATGCGCGGGGATCCAAATGTTGAATAGAATTCTTCTTTTTCAGGGTACTCATTCACCGTTCCTGCACAAGTGCCGACCAAATTCAAGTTTGGGTCGTAATCAAACAATGACTGTGTTTATATTAATGTTATTATTAATCATAGCCTATCACATTTCCACACCGTTGTGGCTTATTTTAGAAACATAAATATAAAATTTATGTCATTTTGATTCTTACTTTCATATAGTGAAAGTTAATTTTTGCTTATTTTAATTAAAATCATATTCATGTAAAAATGTAATAATCAATATATTGCAATAGCAGTTGGCAACAGTTATTAAAAATTATGTTGATAATTTTCTAATATATTGTTATTTTTGGGTTGAGGCAGTTCACTACCTCTCTATAGTGATTGATGATTACTGATTGTATCGTTGACATCATTATTTTTGAATTTATTTTTTATAACTAATGTTCCTAAATGTCATTCATTGTTTAATTATGACTCAATTAAGAACATCAACCAATTTAATTAAGAAATAAACAACTATATTGTGTTGAAATTTATTTTCATGTAAATCGATTATACTGTGTAAATTCTATGAAACCTGCAAAACAGATAATAAATGAATAAATTTTCAACAATATTTTATTTTTAACGTAAACTAAAATATCCAGATCAAATGTATGTTCGAATAAACATTACTTGTCAAAAAACCACTAAACTGATTCAGGTAGGTTTGGATAGACACACTGATTATTAGGGTACCAACTAGGTGCTTCAATGATAAATCTTTTTTACATAAAACGCGAATTCAAAAACGTGATGATGTAAAACCAAAAAGCGAAAAATTTACTGTTATTACACATAATAAACATAATTTGAATGACAAAATTTGTTTAATGTCAAGGTGTCCCTTTATTTAATTCAGTTTAGTTTTTTTTTTTTTTTGTAGTGTTTCTTTTCCTCTTTTTAGTGTAAACAACGTAAGCAATGACTAAAAAGCTACTTCACATAATTAAACTGTTATTATATCATAGCAGAATTGTAAGTTTACAAATTAATTTACTTTAATATAAATTTTAATTTCAATTTTTATATAATATAGTCAAATAGCTTAAAAGAGCCTAAGAAACGATCTATATATCCTTATAATATTCAAGGAATTATCTCCTAATTCCTAACAGTTAAGGAGTTAAACCTTCCATCATCAGCTCATCTGAATAACGTAAGGGAATATAATAACTAACTGACTTTACATGCTAACAATATTCGAAGAATTATGCTCTAACTCCTAACCATTAAGGATTTGTGCCTTCCATCATCAGCTCAGCTACATGAAATGATGACCACCGAATACAAATATCTAAACAAGTTTTAAAAAAATATCAGTCGCCCTTAGGAGAAACTATATATGTGCTTATAAAATTTAAGGGTTACCCTCGAATTCCTTAGGAATCTATAATCAGATCCTAACTTGGTGACAATAGATCATCTCAGGAGTTTAATTTTGAAGTCTGTTAAAAATTAACATTTGTGATGACATTTCATTAGACTGTCACAATGACATGGTAGTGTCACTAAGGTCAATTCTGAGGCGCAATGACTAAACCTATCTCTTATATTTTAATTTGATAGTTTAGCGATATTACTGTTTTCTGCATCATCATAATAAAAAATTATAATAATTTTTACTTAATAAACTTTTTATTGCGCACAATAGAGATGTATACAAAGAGTATTTATACAGAATGTGCATATACAAAAGGCGGCCTTATCGCTAAAAGCAATCTCTTACAGACGACCTGGCATAAATAATGGATAAGTACAGAGAGAAAGGTAGAAGGCGCAAGGCAGACACAGTAAATACAAAAAAGGAATCAAACAAAATGCAAAATATTCTAAATATAAAAATAAGATTAATACATAAACATACATATATAATATAAATAATAATACATAAACATAAATACATTAATATACTAAATTATTATTTATTAAATAAATACAATTATCTATTAGTTTATTATTAAGTGTATTAGTCTACAAGTTAAGTTCATATTGAGTTTTAGAATAAAGATTTCGCCGTGATATCAAATTGAAATTTTAATTTTAGAGAACTTCAGAATCGACCTCACTGGAATCGATTTAGAAGCGACATTTATTCTAAATACTAATAGGAACGTAACTTTTTAATAGATTTAAGTCGGAACTGTTATAAATTTTGTTTATGAAGGTCCATAAAACAGTAATTTCGCCAAACTATTAAAATATTTGATTCGGAGATAAGTTTAGAGAAATAACGTCTCAGAATCGGCATAAAACAACCGTGGTATTTTCTAAGAACATTCTATTCCGTAATCTTTGGAATCAGCCTCACTGTCAGTGCGCCAGGTCGGTTCGAAATTTAACAAAAAAAGGTTTGTACACGCGCAAATGTGCGTACTTCCCTAAGGTACCTACCTATATGTTTGTACTTTGTTTTGTACAGCGTACTCCATTGGGAAGATGTCATATTTGGATCAGAGGGGCGGTAACTACAGTTTTAGAGGGATGGAGGCAAAAAGAATTATTCAAACTAAGCAGAGTTTGTATCTGTTAAACAACAAAATGTACATAAAGGTACATGTTAAAATTACCTAAATGCCTTAGAATTGACTTTATTGAAACTGTCAGTCTTCTTCAATTTACTCCAATGCAACTGATTTTCATTTTAAATTCATTGTAATTTTTATATTTTTTATTGTTTTTTATTCTTCTATTAGCTTCACTACGTGAAAATAAATCATTTAGTAGAATTATTTTGCCCTTCTTTATATGTAAAAATAGAATGATAACCCCGCCTGCGCTATCAGTACCTATACCCTGGCGGGACAACAGTGATAGAGGGGGGGAAGGGATTATTAGTAATGCCGTAATGGTGACTACCAATCCCATTGCTAGTAAGGCTAACTGACCTTTTTGTTTTCGGCTGTTACTAGTGTTGCCACCTTTTTATTTTGCAATTAAAGTGCATTGGTTATTACAGGTAAAAAAAAAATACATAGTTTCAAAATAAAGTACAATTTGTTTATTTTTTATTAAAAACATACTTTATTGTTTTTTACAGTTTGTATAAAATCTGTATCTCTACTAAACAATTGCACAGCTTCCGTAAAGTCTATATTTAAATTTAAGTAAATAAGTAATTCAGTTTTTATCAAATTTAGAGATGCTCTGTTTCTTTCGTCTCGCCATTTGCTATTCAATAAAAAAAAAAAACTCTTTCTGTGATGAATAGCAATAAAATTCTTGTAAATTTAACTAGTCAAATCATGCAAAATAGTGTATTTTCATATACTTTATTATTCTTATAAAGTATAGAATACAATTACCTTAGTTAAAGTACAATACTTTATTTTAAAGTAAGGGTGACAACTCTACTTGTCACCCCTCGCTGGTGCCCCGCCATTGTGTGCCGTTAGCGCAACCTGGGTTGTCATCACAATCGTCACACAAAAATATTTCATATATGTATTTTTGTGTGACGATTATATATGTATGTACGTACCATACCGGTCCCATAGAAATTTTATCAAAATTGATTCAGTAATTGAGTTATTAATCAAAATAACTGGTTTTGCCTTAATTTAACTTAATTGTTTTTGGGAAATATAATTTAATAATATATCTAACATAAAAATCTGAGAAGTTCTGAAATTGTACTGTGTTCACTAGATCTAATAAATCTGAGTACAATCCTGTGGATAGATCACTAAACTATCATCATCATCATCATCATTTCTGTCGTTATCTGTCCACTGCTGGACATAGGCCTCCCCCATAAACTGCCATAAGGAACAGTATTGAGCCACCTGCATCCACTGACTCCCTGCAATACATTTGAGGTCGTCACTCCATCTAGTGGGGGTAGTCCTACACTGCGTTTGCCCGTACGGAGTTGCCATTTAAAAACGTTTAAACTCTAAACCAGTGATTCTCAACCACTGTGCCGCGGCACTTTTGTATGCCGCCAAATTTTAAAAGTATGCCGCCAAATTTTGCAAATATTTAAAATTTTTGTCATAAACTATTTATACAGTGTGTTGTAGTAAGTAAATAATTTTTATCTTTTTCTTTGTGTGCCGCCAAATTTTGAAATCGTTAAATATGTGCCGCAACAAAAAAAGGTTGAGAATCTAAACTATAATTAGTGTTTATTGTTTATGAAGTAACGAGTGCTTAAACAATAGTGAGCAAATGTTAATTCGCTAATAATAAGAATTCTATTATCGACAGATATTCAAGAATAAGCATGTTACAAAATAGTATACTCAAAATATTTAAATCAAATAGATTATAGATAGATTATCTATAATATAAAATGAATGTGTTGCTAAGCGCAAATCTTGAGAACAGCAGAACCGGTTTCGCTAATTCTTTTTTTAGAATATTCCTTGAAGTATGAGGATGATTCTTACGGTGAGAAAATATTGCCTGAAAAAGTCTAAAAACAACACTTCTTTACTCCCATACAAACGATTCGAAATAACATTTAAAAGTCAATTTGAACTTTAATACCATATCATAAAGTTCAAGTGTTAGTGGAGAGGTGCCGGGAAGGCAAAACAATCGAGTGACGTAGTATGGCGTCTTTTATAATTTAATTTTTTTGACATAATGTAATTGTTGACTTATTAACTTTTTTTTCTTTTTTTATCTTACTCAGCTAGTAAGGCTATTTCTTATTCTGCTACCCGGCGTTCCGGATAGCAGAATAAGAAATTAAAGAATTGACTGTTAAGTGGTATGATGTTCACGGGGTCAGCTAGTATTGATATGAATATGCAATTGCGTTTATTATGCATTTATAAATTATTAAAATAATTACTTGTCTGACCGTCCTCAGTTGCTGAAATAGATTCTCAAGACAATCATTAATGAGTTTAAAAACTCATTTTATATTAGGTTTCATAAAATTCATCAATGAAATTGTAAAAATCCCGTAATGAATATTACGCTTTCAATATGAAACGTCTATTAAACTTCGTGCGTTATATGGATTATGGATAGAATACTATATATATATATATATATATATATATATATATATATATATATATATATATATATATATATATATATATATATATATATATAGTAATTATAAAGTGATAGTTAATTTTTGGTCTGAAGTTTACAACGATGATTGTTGCAATGTAATGTGTGTGATGAAAGATCAATGAACAAGGGTAAAGAGCTAAACTCATGATATATTATTGGAACATTTCGATTTTATAATAGTTATTATTCATACATTAATATATTATATGCATGAATAGTTATTAATATTATTTATTTATGTTAAAATCATATATTTGTGTATTTATGTTGGTATTGCCTTTTTGTGACATTAATATAAACGGTGAATATTTTCTGCATGTAATTATTGGACAAGACTGTCATCACGTATTTAAATTATTGTACAATAATATATTTACACCCCATTTCATTGTGGGTTCATTAATAATAATAATAAAAAAATGCACTAAATGAAAGTAAAAAATTGTAAAACTTATTAAAAGTTAATAGTATTTTATCAATATGTAATCATTGTTATTATTGTACACATAACTAGTTAGCATTATGTGAATCGAAAATCAAT